ATACCGATCGGAAGCAATCAGCAGTAGTCGCTAAGAACAACGTAGGTCAGGCGAACAGGAGTGATACCCCCAGAGCATGTGTCGCACGACCATCTCAACGCGCAGAAGGATGTGCCCATAGACGAAACTACATTCCAGAAGTGGAGAAAACGGTTCGAAGAAGTAGAGCAGGAACACCGAGAGAGGGGGGAGGAGGTCAAGTGGGTAATTGTGGATGGATTCCTACTGTTTTGGGAGCCGGTGAGTCAAATTGTGGACACAGTACCTAGCCTGGAATTGACGAGCAACTCTTGCAGCAAGTAGTTGAGAAGCTTGATCACCGCATCTTCCTCCGGGTACCCCACGACGTCCTCAAGCAACGGAGGCACGAACGGCATGGGTACCACACTGCAGGTAGGAGCTCGTCCCTCCGCTGTCCCCGCGGCGCCCGTCCTAACGCTCTTCCTCCTTTCCGCCTCCCCGACCTATCCCGATGTGTGTCTCCGTAAACCCGCACCCGCGCTCTAAATCCGCCCTTTCGCCGCCGGCTGAAACGCGCACTGCGATGAACCGCCCATTGGAATCCCGGAGCTCAATCTGATCCAGAGGGCAGCCTTTGGCGCGATCCGCCGAATTACTGGGAGCAGATCGTCTGGCCGGCATATGTCGCCGCGCACGAGCAGATTCTCGAGAACGGGGACGTCGAGCACGGGAAGCCCAATGGCAAAGTTCCGGGGCTGCTGCTGTTCGAGGGGCTTGAGGTGGGCATGAGCGAAATGGTTGAACGGGTGTGTAGCGTGCTCGATACAGGGGCGGTGGGTGGAGATTAGCTGTACACAGGGAACATAGACTTCATTTTCTTCGTGAGCTTGGGATGGGATCGTTCCTCGCGGCGGAAGCAACGGAGCAATGTGAGGGTAATTTGTATTGGGGAGGTTCACGTGGTTTGGACAAGAGATTCAGGTGATCGGCACGGGCCCGATCCCTAGAAAGCTCTCAAGTCAGAGCAGTCGACACCCGCTGCACTCCTCTCCCCTCTACCTCCTCATCCGAAACTTGCCATGGCTCAGGTTATTGTCGTCGGTGGTGGTCTCGCTGGTCTCTCGGCCGCGCACACTCTGCTCGAGCGTGGCGCTAATGTGCTGCTCCTCGACAAGCAACCGTGAGTAGCATTGTCCACCAGTGACGCAGGGACAGTCAGTCGGTTTTGGTCTCGCTTCCCAAACGAAGCAGATACGGGACGCAGCGACTGCAAGCAGCCAATGAAAACGGAAAGAGGTGCTTTGGCGGGTGGGTTGCTAAAGCATCACTGACTGCCCCTGTTCGCGACTCGCATTAGCGCTTTTGTACTCACGATGATTCTCCTTCAGCTTCATGGGCGGCAACTCCACTAAGGCGACCTCTGGTATCAATGGTGCTGGCACACAGACTCAGCAGGAGTTGGGCATTCCTGATAATGCGAAGGTGTTTTTCGAGGACACTAAGCGATCGGTGCGTCCCTACGCGTTACTTTACCCCGCACCACATGACGTATTCATCAACAACCCTGATGTCAGGCGCGCGAGCTTGCCCGCGACGACCTCATCCGTGTCCTAACCGGCCGTTCTGGCGATGCCGTCAACTGGCTCCAGGACAAGTTCGGTCTCGACCTCTCTAAGGTTGCCCGTCTTGGCGGTCACTCGCAGCCCCGGACGCACCGCGGTAATGCGCAGTTCCCAGGTATGGTCATCACGTACGCGCAGATGGAACGGCTGGAAGACCTTGCGGAGAGTACGCCCGACCGCGTCCAGATTAAGAAGAAGGCCCGTGTCACCCAGCTCATCAAGGACGAGTCTGGTGCTGTCGTCGGCGTGAAGTATGAGCATCAGGGTAAGACCCACGACGCATACGGACCTGTCATCCTCGCGACTGGGGGATACGCCGCGGACTTCACCTCCGACTCGCTCTTGAAGAAGTACCGACCGGAGTACTGTGATCTCCCAACGACTAACGGGGAGCACTGTACGGGTGACGGTCAGAAGATGGCTCTTGCTGTCGGTGCCTCCGCAGTCGACCTCGAGAAGGTCCAGGTCCACCCCACCGGTCTCGTCGACCCCAATGAGCCCGAAGCGAAGGTCAAGTTCCTGGCCGCTGAGGCGCTTCGTGGTGTCGGCGGTTTGCTCCTCGATAACACCGGGAAGCGCTTCGTCGACGAGCTCCAACACCGTGACTATGTCACTGGCAAGATGTGGGAGAACGGCAAATATCCCATCCGCCTCGTCCTCAACGGTGCCGCGTCGAAGGAGATCGAGTGGCATTGCAAGCATTACGTCGGCCGTGGTCTGATGAAGCGCTACGAGAGTGGCGAGGCACTTGCGAAGGATATGGGTCTTTCGCCTGAGGTCCTGAAAAAGACATTTGATGACTACAACATTGCAGCGCGTACGAAGAAGGATCCCTTCGGCAAAAAGGTGAGGCTTCTCACCCATGAATTCTTTACGGGCCGATGGACTCACTTTCGTCCACCTGCAGTTCTTTACCGACAGTGAATGGAAACTCGACGACATCTTCAATGTTGCGATCATGACTCCTGTCCTCCACTACACCATGGGTGGCCTCGAGATTGACCCTGAGTCGCGTGTACTGGACAAATTTGGCAAACCCATCCCCGGTCTCTACGCTGCGGGTGAGGTTGCGGGTGGTGTCCACGGTGCCAACCGTCTCGGTGGCTCATCACTTCTCGGATGCGTTGTGTTCGGGCGGGTGTCTGGTGGCTCCGCTGCATCGTACCTTCTTCAGAAGATCGGCCCTGTCGCAGCGAAGGCCGCTGGCCGTTTGGGCGCTGTTGCTGGCCACCTCGGGGCAGAGAGTTCAAGCTCCAAGCCCGCAACTTCTACCGAGTCAGAGGAGAAGAAGAAGGTGGAGACCGGCGCGAACAGCTCTCCAGCGCCCTCGGGTGGCAACTCCTACAGCGTGGAAGAGGTGGCGAAGCACAACAAGAAGGACGACTGCTGGGTTATCATCGACGGCAAGGTCCTCGATGTGACCGCTTTCCTTCCCGACCACCCGGGAGGCGAGAAGGCGATCCTTCTGTATGCCGGGCGTGATGCGACGGAGGAGTTCAATATGCTTCACGATCCTAAGGTATGTCTCCCGTGCCCCCTAGGCGTGTCGAATAGCGAATGCTAACGAATCGGTAGGTCATACCCCGGTATGCACCTGACGCAGTCATTGGCACACTGAAGAAGTAGTTCGGTTCCCATTCTTAGCTCGTTTGGTTGATGCAGGACTCTTGTGTGGTATGTATACCACACTGCCCGGCCCTCATTTGTAAATCAACTATTCTCTTTCCTACGCCGCTAGTGTGCGTGTGTGTGTGGAGGCGACGGTATTGTGGATGAGGCGTAATGCGCCAGCTGGGTAACTCGGGACTTCGGACTAGTTGTGGCTAACCCCATGATCTCTCCGAGGGTACACTGTAAATTACGCGCGTAATGGTCTGCTGCGGCCCTAGCTGAAGCGAAATGAAATTTTTCAAAAGCGTTGATTTTGCCTCCTATGTCTAGGGTCATCAGTGCAGCTCAATGAGTGGACGGTCTGACTACGTCATGTGCTGCCGGTTACAAGGTTCAGGGCCAACGACGTGTCATGGCTACGAGCACAACTTACCCATGCGTGGTGTCTAGCGGCACCCACTATGCAGTGTACGACCGGCTACCGCACCGTGCTCCGCGGCCCGCCGCGACTTTCCTTTTTGGGGGTGTGGAACGCATGCTCTCGGGGAGCTACATATTTGAGTTGTTTCATAATGCCCAACAACCAGCAGTGCTTCATCATTGCCTTTGCACCGCCGAGATCTAGTATTACAGGCACCGCCGAGTGGTATATCAACTTGTATCCAAACCTCTTCGTTACTGTCCATATATACCCAGGCTGTTGTGTCTCCGCCCTGTGTCCGAGTAGCCTCTTGTGTGGACCAAGTACCGTCACACTAGTAGCGAGACATCGCGGTGCACAACCGGGAAGCCTGTCGCTCGAATATGGTGAATTACTGTCTGAGTATGGAACACTGCCATACATGTGCGCCACTCCTTTGCGCCGTGTCATGGTTGGACCGTGAACTACCTCATGCGCCACCGTGACCGCTCAGCTGGTGCTTTGACCGCATTCTGTATAGCCGCGAAGCGTTCAAATTGGCATACACAATGCGGTCCCAAGGCAACATCTCGACAACAGCCAGCCCGGGGTATACAGGCTCCAAGCGTCTTGACAACGACAATACTATGGTGCAGACGTCTATAAAAGGAACGTCGACGGAGGCTATCTGCCCATCTCTCGTAAAGTCCTCCCTGAGGAACATCTCTTGCCTATACGACATCGGCCCCCGCCGATCTCATTCTGAACACGCTCTCACGTCCTCCTCGGTCGTTGATCTTCGGTGGCACATCCTGCATAGCTATCCATCCCTGCTGCGAACTTGAATCATTCCTACACGCCACCAGAAGCATCCAACGTTTAGATCGAAGTAACGTGCATAGAGATCGTGGTCAGTCTCAAAAGATGATGTCCAATCTTTTGTTTATTGTGTTGATGCTTCAATTGTCGCCTGAAGACTACTTGCAACGCAGTCTGATGCCACGTCTCCGGCATCATCCGGAAATATGCGCCACAACCAATACATGTAAGTGCCATGCGCCCTTGTGGGGATCTAAACTGACTTTGCTTTGAGTAGTCAGAGCCGACAGTCGGCTTCTGTTCACAACATACCACTGGAGCTCCTATACAATTTCTTCGAGCATCTGGACAATCACAGCATCCGAGCTTGCATGCTAGTATGCGAAAGGTGGAGACTGATCAGTCAACGTCTCCTGTTTAGGGCACCTCGTCTTTCGGATCTTGCGTCTTTGGACTCCTTTTGCCGATTGGTCGACTGCAACCCGGATCTAGCCAACGCTGTCCGTGATCTGCACATACGCGGCAAGACGGACTACTCCTCTATGCGTCCTACACCTTGGATCCTACAGGTTCCACTCCGGCTGCTTAACCTGCTACCGAATCTGCGCTCTATCACGTTCGACCAAATCGAGCGCGTTCAATTCTCGGCAGACTTCTGGACAGAACTGGAGAAGTTCACACCGAAAGTGACCTCTTTGACGATCAAGGCATCTCGATTCTACTTTGACACCGATCTCCGAGACCTTATCTTTGCCTTCCCCAATCTCACATCGTTGACGCTCTCCAACGTCCACTGGGGTCGTGCGGATGAGACTGTCTGTCCACCTCCACGTTGGGGACGGATCCTGCCACTCCGGACGCTTCGACTGAACCATGTCCCCGGTCGCTCTGAATATGTAACGCTGTTTGACTGGCTAAGCAGGTCCAAGACAGTCCGGGAACTAGAAGTCCTGCAATACTCACATGAGGCCTTTGATCTCCTCGTGAACTACCTTCATCAGCTCGCAGACAAAGGTCGTTCGCTGCTGGAGTCATTCAGTTTCTCTCCATCAGCCGTGCTTTACGGGCGAGATTATGGTGAGTAGGTCCTGGGCCCTTCATTGCTTATATTGTGCTAACATACACTCTCCGCGCTAGTGGTTACCTATCCTGAGCTCGGTGCCGCTCTTCGTCGACATGTCCTCCTGCGGGACCTCCACTTGCATATCCCTAACATGATGAACGGGCCGATGGCATGGGTGCCCCGTCTTCTCCGGGACCTAGATCCCGCACCCCTCACGCATATCGCGCTTGACTTCACCTTGGACGTGGACAACGCTGATCACTTGACCCCCGACTGGAGCGAAACAAACTCTAGGCTGCAGTCTCAATGGCGCAAGACACTGCAGAAAGTGACGCTCACCCACTATCCCGTCGGCCACTTCCTCTCGGATTCGACAGCGCAGTATATCCTGACGACGCGGCTGGAGCATTTGAATGAGCGCAAGATGCTGGATGTGTTTATCGGAGAACGATATGGATAGCGCTTTCGCAAAATCCCGCTTCGGGACTGGGGGGGCTCGTCACCATAGGGCTGATTTTTTTTCTGGCTATAAGGCAGCGTTCTGGGTTTATATGGATGGACCTGAATTGACTTTATTCGTGATTTCTACACGCAGTGCTCTTGTATCAGATCATGTACTGGCGAGACTCATGTTAGCTCCGCACTACTCTGTTGCCAGTAGTGGGTTCACCTCTTGATTATGGCCGATGACCGTGATTTGCAGATATATATGTGGCAGTACTCTCGGAGTAGTCTGTCATCGTTTACTTGAATATGAGGAGTCGGCCTCATGATGCGCATATGGGCGAAGTGGCTGTGACTTCGGAGGCGGTTTCGGAAGTTACCCCGCCAACATTCCTCCTACGCAGCCATTGCGTCCTGACTGATGCTCAGACCATCACCACTCCGGGCCAAACGTTCCATGTAGGTCTGATGTATGCTCTTCTAACAAGTCTCAGGAGCATGCTGCGCACCCCTCAGAAGCTTCCGCCTTCAGGCCCCATCCTAGGCTCCTCACAACTCGTACCTATCTACACACGATCCCATCATCATCGTAGCATCCATTCTTATCTAAATCATGACCAGCTCGTGCGCAGTTGTCCAAGTGTTGCGATGCTAGATCTTGGCCATAGTTATGACGGTCTCCAAGTTGCGTATGTACTGCCGGTCCCTGGGGATACTCGCGTGGGCCTCTCTCGGGATGCTTCAGCTTGCATGGACTCATCCTCCTTGCCAAGCACCCGCACATATGTCGCCCTTGACTCGATGCATCACTGTAGACCTCCGTCGCTGTAGCGATTAACATATGCGCGAACACATCAGATATCATCAAGCGTCTCGGAAGCTCGTTCATGCCGCCCACTTATATACCGAGCCCATGCAGTGGGTGCCCGTCCGCTCTCAGCCCGGGTACGCTCAGCGAGGACCGCGACGCTCTCGCTCTTTCATCCGTTTTGCCGCTCCTTCTCGCCATTCCTTTCTTTCTTTCCCTGACCCAAGATGGTTGCAGCCGGGCTGCTTGCTTTCTCTTTCATTGCCCTCGCGCTGGGCGCGCCGACCTGGGACGCGCTTCATGTTCACGATGCGCGTTCAACTGCGCCAGCAGGTTACAAGGCGAGCGGCGCTCCCGATCCGAACGAAGTGCTGAACTTGCGCATCGCGCTCAAGAAGGACAACACACCGCTGGTGCAGAAGCTCTTGGATGTTAGTACGCCAGGCAGCAAGAACTACCGCAAGTTCCTCACTAAAGCTCAGGTGCGTACGGTCGTGCTGAAGTGACCTATCATCGCGCGCGGGGTTCTCATCATTGCGATGCGAACGCTATGCGCGCGTAACAGGTCGCGGCGCTCACCGCACCTAGCGATGGTGGCGTAAAGGCGATCAATGCATGGCTACAAAAGAATGGCGTGAAGGCAACTCCCGGCGCAACGAATCAGTGGTTGAATATCGAGTTGCCTGTGTCCAAGGCGAACGCTCTGCTTGACGCGGACTTCACGGTGTACAAAAACCCAACCACGGGGGTCACCGCAATCCGCACACTCGCGTACTCAGTTCCGGCCAGCGTGCAGCCATATCTGGACTTCATCTACCCAGCTACTGCGTGAGAGATATATCTCTCACAAAACCTTGACTACAATATTGACGCCGACTCGTGCGCACGCACATAGGTTCCCAGTACAGGCGAAGAAGGGCATTTCAAGCGTGCACGTCTCCGGCACGTTCCACAATTCTACGCATGTCGCGCGGGCGGATGCCTCTTGCGCCACTGCCATTACACCAACGTGTCTCCAGCAATTCTACAATGTCCCGACCGACCCTGCGACGCAGACTTCGAGCACGATGGCCGTCAGCAGCTTCGTGAATTCATTCGCGGCCACCAGCGATCTGTCGGGGTTCCTCACGCAGTTCCGCCCCGACATTCCAAGCAGCACTTCGTTCAGCGTCACGTCTGTAGACGGCGGTTCGAACGACGAAACCCAGCCTAGCACTGAAGGAGTACGCTCGCTTTCACGTCCTATCAGTTTGTTGCGAGCGCGTAGCTAACCGTTGCTCTCTTTAGAGCTTGGACATCCAGTACACCGTGGGCATTGCGACTGACGTGCCGACCACCTTTTTCACTGTCGGCACCCAGAATGATGGCGATGTGACCGGTTTCCTGGATCTCGTCAACAACCTCATCGCCCTGGACAGCCCGCCGTCCGTCTTCACGACTAGTTTCGGTTTCCCCGAAGAGCTGGTTGACCCGGGTTTAGCCAAGTAGGAAGCCATCATGCTATAGTAAACAGCCTACTCATCGAGCATTGCAGCAATATCTGCAACGCGTATGCCCAACTTGGTGCGCGCGGGACGTCTATCTTCTTTTCTTCCGGAGACAGCGGCGTAGACGATGGCCAGGGCGGCAGCTGTACGACCTTCCGCCCCACCTTCCCTTCGGGCTGCCCCTTGTGAGTCCCGCACAAACCAAATAGATCCGATTCCGTGCTTACAGCGCTCGACAGCGTCACCGTCGTCGGTGCCACCCAAGGAGTCCCGCCCGAGTCCGCGGCCGACTTCTCCTCCGGCGGCTTCTCCAACGTCTTCGCGGTGCCCGACTATCAGAGCGGCGCGGTCTCGGGCTACCTGGGCAAGCTCGGGTCCACCAACGCGGGCCTCTTCAACACAAGCGGCCGCGGCTACCCCGACATCTCCGCTGCGGGCGTCAGCTACCAGGTGAACATCGGCGGCACCGTCACGGACGTGTCGGGCACTAGCGCGAGCACCCCGTTCGTTGCGAGCACGGTCGCGCTCCTGAACGACAGGCTCGTCGCAGCGGGCAAGGCCCCGATGGGCTTCCTCAACCCGTTCTTGTATTCCACTGGCGCGAGCGCGTTCACGGACATCACTACCGGTAACAACCCCGGATGTGGCACCGATGGGTTCCCTGCCAACGAAGGATGGGATCCTGTACGTGACCACGCTAGCTGTGAATCTGATAGCGTGTCGTACTGACAATGCCATACTCCAGGTCACCGGTCTGGGCACGCCCGACTTCAACAAGCTCTTGACCGCTGCGGGCCTCTGATCATATCCCGAGGCTTCTGTTGATTTTTTCCCTTATCTATTTCTGCATCTGTATCTCGGATCTTGCGGACAGCTGTATCGGTACTCAATATCAAACGGGCGGAAATGCGTCGGCTCCGATCAGGCAAATTCGTCGAACCCTCAGCGACGAGAATCAAGCACAGTGAGGGTCGTCGATAAGACGCGGCAGCTATTCGCAGTTTCATTCACTACATCGCGCGAGCCTCAGTGCGACGTTGGTGGCCTCAATTGACGATCTCGAGGTAATCACCACCTTGAAGTCATGCATTGCTCCGGAGCTGTCCACTGCTACAGCCCCGGTGCCTTGCCATTCCAGCCATTCCCCTCCTCGGACGCCGAAAGAGGACGCTGAGTAGAGCGAAACGGTTTACCCCTACATAACTTGCATATGTCATGATTTCCGTAGCCGATGACAGGGGCCGTGAGCATGCGGCTGTGCACGTTGATCTAGCGATTTTCCCGACTCCGCGTCTTGGACGACTTGGGGACTTGTCAGATATGTACGCTTCACCATCGGACGCGACTCTGTGCTACCTCACCACATAGGGGCTTCAAGAGAGCTCAGTCTAGTACCTTCCGCCTATATAAGAGACATCCACGCGTTCCGATAGGACAAGATCTCTATCGGTGAGTCAACAATGTCTGCGAAAGAGGCAGCCGGGCTTGATAGAACTTGACAGGGGCGCGCCTTTGATTACCTTTACGACCCATCCCTGGTTCCTATGAACCGGGTGGACTGCGCCCGCTGATATCTCGATAGGTAGATGAGGGCGACATCAATGAGCGTACAGCATGCGCGGAAAAGTTGGCAAAACGGGAGTAATAAGTACGGCTATGCCGCCACCGGCCTGCCAAATGACAGCCACAGCCTGGACGTCCGACGCTACGCGCACGACGTCCAACTGCCGTGGGCCATGCTCCCTTTAGCCGGTGCGATCTAGGGTACTTAAGCCAGGACCACGCACATTCATGTTGTACTCCATATCACATCACGTCCGCGGACAGCGACGCATCCGTCTGCTCACCTCCCTTTCTTTTCCTTCTCTCCCGTTCTTCTTTCCCCTTCCGCTTCCTAGGTCACGATGGTGCCTTCTTCTCTTCTCAAGTTTGCTCCACTCGTGACGGCAGGAGCCGCCCTCGGCCAAAGCTTCAGCTTCAAGGCCCACGGCACCGGGTACAAGTCCGCGTACGGGTCGCTCGCGCCCGACAACGTCGGCGTGTCGACCTCCAACGACCTCCTGTACACCGTCGAGATCACGCTCGGGGGCCAAAGTGAGTCCAGCGGCGCTGCTACAATTACAACAGACGACTGACTCACACGACACGTTCTCTGCATAGACTTCACCGTCCAGCTCGACACCGGCTCGTCTGACCTGTGGCTGAACACCGCCGGGCGCGCCGTCCAGCTAACGAACGCTACCGATCTGGCGGCCGAGGAGGCGTACGGGAGCGGCCAGGCCGCGGGCAGCATCGCGTTCGCCGAGCTGCGAATCGGAGACTTCACACTCCCCTCGCAGGGTGAGTCCCCCGGCCAGTCATGACATCCCATTCCGCTTCCACCTGACTCAGGCATGCATCCGCAGCGTTCTTGAACGCCACCGCCATCCAGGACATGGACCTGTCGGAGATGGACGGGATCATGGGCATGGCCTTCGACGTCGCGTCCATCTACGGCATCGTGCAGAAGGCGTGGGGCACGGCGGCAGCGGACGCGCTCGCGCGCGCGCCCATGACCGCGCTCTTCGCGCAGGACCCCGCGCTGCCCGACTTCTTCGACGTGCAGCTCGGGCGCACGACAGAGCTCGACGACGTCGCCGACGGCACGTTCCTCATCTCGGCGCACGCGGCCGGGTTCGAGGACGTCGCGGACGCGCCGCGGCTGCCGCGCGTCGCCCCGGAGCACTGGGGCGTCGTGCTCGACGCGATGGTCGTCGACGGCGAGAGCTTCGCGTTCAACGCCTCCCGGATCAAGGGCGTCCCCGCGGGCAAGGTCGTCGCCGTGCTGGACACCGGGTTCTCGTTCCCGCCGTTGCCCGCGCCTGCCGTGGACGCCATCTATGGGGGCATCCCGGGCGCGGTGTATGATGAGTCCTCGGCGGCGTGGCTTGTGCCCTGCAACGGCAGCACGAACCTCACCTTCGTCTTCGGGTGCGTCGCTGGCCTGCGTTCGCTGACGTACACCAGACACTGATTGCGGGCGCGCGTGCGTGTGTCAGTGGCCAGGAGTTCCCCGTGCACCCGTTGGACCTCACCTTCCCCGTCGCGGTGACGCTCCCCGTGAACGGCGTGGACACGAACGTGACGGCGTGCCTGGGCACGTACCAGTACCTCACGCTGGACCCGAGCAGCTTCGTGGGGTTCGACATCATCCTCGGCGATGCGTTCCTGCGCAGCGTGTACGCCTCGTAAGTCGCTCCTCTAGTCCTTGACCTCTGCTGCGGTAGGGCCCGTCTAAGCCCCTCTGTGCCTGTGTCCAGGTTCAACTACGGCGACTGGGACCCGATGCAGAACACGGACGGCACGCCGTACGTGCAGATGCTCGCGACGACGGACCCCGCGACGATGTGGGACGAGTTCCAGACGGAGCGCGCGGCGACGCTCGCGCAGCTGCCGCCCGCGCTGGACCCCTCGCTGCTCGTGCAGTACGAGCAACAGGCGGCGGCGGCGTCGTCCACGCAGTCCACCGCGGACCCGAGCTCTCCCACGGACAGCTCGTCGGGCGGGACGCAGGGCGAGCACGACGAGCTCGCGAAGCTCGAGGGGGCGGTCTCGAGCGACCCGTCGTCTGGAGACGGCAGCGGGGACAGCTGGGGGAAGAAGTACGAGACGCTCGCGCTGGGGCTGCTGGGGGCGAACCTGCTCGTCGGGGTGGTGCTGCTGGGGGTGACGGTGACGATGTGTGTGCGGGGGATGAAGGGCCGGAGTGCGGGGTCGCGGTACACGCCTGTGCGCTTCAAGGACGGCGGGGAGGACTATGAGCGGGGGGCGATGGGGCGGTACAGCGATTGAGCGTTGGTGTGTAGTGTATAGCAGACATGCTCAGCTGTGTGTAACTTGACTTATTCTTCTCGCGAATCGCATTATATATAATATAAGTAACAGCGATGCGGAGGCGAGCAGGACGCGATCATGTGATCGTGCACTGGCGGGTGACATCATGGGGGACTGGGCTGGGAGGAGCGTGGATGGCGTCATGCAAGAGGCGAGCACAGATGAAAAGGCCGTGTTCCAACCGCACGTCTTCCCACCACGTACGCATCGTCTTATCCCCACTACCACCATGTCTGCCGTCCTCCGCACCACCCTCCGTGCTGCCCCCGCAGCCTCCCGCGCTGCATGCTCCGTATGTTCATCTGCTTCTTCGTGTCTGTATCACCGATTCTGACACGGTATACAGAGACCCCGCACGTACGCCACCGTTCCAGACCCCACTCAGCCCACCGATACCCAGACCGACATCCCCAAGCCCAAAGGCAACACCACTCTCTTCTTGGTCGCTGGCGGTCTCGCCGCTGCCGGCGCGAGCTACTACTACGTCTACCAATCCGGCTCTGCCGACCCTCACGCGCAGCGCCAAGCGGACCAGGAGCGCGTAAAGCAAAAGGCGGCAGAGCTCCGCGACGCCGGCAAGGCCACCGCCCACGACGCCGCCCGCGAGGGCCAGGCCAAGTACGATGAGACCAAGGTTCGTCGTGTGCTCCCGCCCACGTCCCCATTCAGATCATTCATCTCCTTGCTGTACAGTCATCTGCTCAGGACAAGCTCGCGGAGGCCCGTGCCCAGACCAACAAGACTGCGGACGATGCCCGCGGCGCGGCGACTCGTCAGTACGAGAAGGTCAAGGGTACCGCTGCTGACGCCGCCCACAAGGTCGAGCAGACGTACGAGGACGCGGCGAAGAAGACCAAGCAGGAGGCTCAGGGCTGGAACGCATGGCTCTGGAGCTGGCTCGGCTACTCGCAGAAAAAGGCGGAGGATGTCAAGAGCGAAGGCGCTCAGAAGGTCGCAGAGGGCGCACGGAAGGTTGAGCAGGAGGCACAGAAGCGTGTATGAGAAGGTTATGGACATTTCATATCGGCGGACCTCAGCATGGAATCATGATCTCTGTATACTCCAGTGTACTCGTCCATTGAATATCAACTTGACCAACGCTCTCTCGATACTTCATCACTTCACGCGAATCAACATTCATGCGATCAATACTAGCCTGACCCTATCAGGGTAGTGTTCTCGGGTTGGTCTTCGCTCGCTGGCTCGATTTGAAACAGCAGCCCCGCGTCCAGCCACTCTGCCCAAAAATCATCCAAAGAAGGTGGTGCTACAGCTGGTGTATCCCAACTGACTTCCGAATGATGCGGCACAACTGACTCCGGGTTCAGGACAAGGGCAGAATTGGCCTCCATATCTTGCTGCCTCGTAGGAGGGTCTTCCTCTACGCCCTCTTCCTCCTCCGGGGGCATCTTATCGTCATCCCCCCGACGCGCAGACGCCTCAAGTGCAAGGCTCGCGACAGGGCCCGCCGTCCGCTCATCAGGCCTGACGTCCAGCTCCCAGTCCGCCATCCCCTCGCACACCCCGCACCGGCAGCGCACGACGCGCGCGTGCCGCCCCAGCCACCGCTCGAGCTGCAGCGGCGTCCGCCCCGCGGGCAGGTGCGCGACCGCCGCCCAGAACCCGGGCGCCTGGTAGCACGGCATCGCGATGCGCCCCAGCGCCCGGCCCAGCGCGCGCTGCGCCTCCTTGCGCACCTCCGCGCGCACCTCGCCCGTCTCGCGCGCGCTTCCAGCTCCAATCACAACTCCAACTCCAACTCCAAGAGCACCGGAAACAGCATTTGCAGACGACGACGACGACGACGACGAAGAGGACAGGGATAGTTGCTCGGCGAGGGCGCGCCAGGCGGCGTCGTACGCGTCGCGCCCCCGAGACAGGCCTCGCTCGCGAAGTGGCGCTTGAGGCCGTCGTGCCGCGCGATGGGCGCGGGCCCGCGCGCGTGCGCCGCGGAGACGCAGTACGTGCGCACGCCGAGGTGCGCGTGGAGGATGTGCCGGTGCACGTCGGTCTCGCGCGAGAAGGTGCGCGGGCAGGGCGCGCCTGAGCTTGGGAGGGGGACGGGGCAGGCGCGGCGGGCGTTGGCTTTGGGCCTGGCGACGGCTTTGGGCCTGACTACGGGTTTGGGGCTGGGTTTGGCTGATGAGCGGGATGGGTGCGCGGAGGCGCTGGGGGAGCGCGGGTCGGCTGCGGGCGGCCGGAGGCGCGTGCGTTTGGCTTTCGGTGGGAGGGGGGGAGCTTGTGCCGCACCGGAGGGTCCTGCATGGGATCGGGATGGCCCGGCAGGGGCGTTCTGCGCGGCGAGACGACGGTGACGCGGGGCAGGGGGTCCGCGCACGTCGCTGGTGGGTTGGGGTGTCCCGCTGGTGGTGCCTTGCAGGGACCGTCAGTAGAGGCAAGGTCAGAAGAGACGGGAGAACCTCACTTGAGAGCTGGTGCGACCCTTGTTGGGCCTGCGATCTTGCATCGCGCAGCCCTCGGTAGAGCTCAGGCCCGGACTGAGGGCATCCGGCGTTGCTTGGCTGCTCACCGGGAGCAGATAGACCGATCGTCGAGGCGGTTACGGTGGTCCCGCCCAGGGCGGACGACCTGGCTTTATCACTCGAGTAAGGCAGCGAACGCGGACGACGACTACCGAGATACACACCGTACCCGCCGACATGGAGGGGAGCGCGCAGCAGTGGAGGGGCATTGATAGTTTCTGGAGCGTCCAGCAGCGCTTGCTTCTTGCGGCGCTTGCTTGTGCCAGATGGCCCGCCGTCCAGCTCGTCCGTGCGTGTGCGTTTCCGCGCAGGCCCCGAGACGGCGGGGACGTTCTCTTTGTCCGCGGCTGGTGGTGCCGCACCGTCGTCTGCTCTTGAACGTGTGGAAGTTTCGTTGACGAAAGCATCTTGGACAGCTATACGAAATATGAGTCGAAATGCCACAGCGGACTACCGGCCGCGGACCACTCACTTGTGTGTGCGGCCTCCGTCTCCGGATAGAGGACAGGTGTGCTGAATATGCGTCCATTTTCAACGATAGCCGTCGGGGGCACCGCCGTACGCCGACGTTTGCGGGAGGAGAGCTCCGCAGAGCTCCCTGCGTTCTCAGATCGCTCGGCTCGTGGCCTCTTCGCACGGGGTAGGCTAGGGACAGCGGGAAAAGGTGGATCGTTTTGATTAGGAGGCGGAGGTGCAGGGACTATGGATGTTTGTTGGTACGTGGCTGACGGATCGATGCAAGCGGGCAAGTTTTCCTCACCCAAAGCATCGACGGGTGGATTGAACGGACGGAGTTGGGGGACTGTCTGGCTGAAGGTATGCGGACGATCGAGCGAAGAGGTGGTGGCCGACGCATCTGGACGTTCATCGTATTGGGCCAAGAGAAATGCCGAATATAGCGCTTCGAAGGCGTCCACCGAAGTGTCAGGGAGGGGTGCCGTGCATTGTGCGCCCGTAGGCAAGGCGAACTCGTTCGCCTCGTTGTCGAAGTCGAATTCAATTTCATTATCGCTGTACTCTTCAGCCATCGAGGACGCAGATGGAGGCACGTTGGGCAAGGTGGAAAAGGCGGGGCAAGTGTATGAAAGGAGTAGCTGTGCCTCGGTTCGATCTTATATGTGCCCCCAGCACTCGACGCGAAGGCACGTGGACTTTACTGGGCGGTGGGGCACATACCGTCGTCCTACGGGTCGAAACATATCACAATTGTGACCATTACCTTTGAGTGCCTATGAACAAGAGTACGAGTCGATAAGGATTTTTGCCTAAACGACTTACACAACGCGTATTTCTTGACTACTCTGTACCGCTACACAATTGAGGGCGTCTATAGCTCTCCTCGTCTGGCCTCAACGACATGGCTAGGGATAGCGTTTCAATGACCTTTGGCAAAGCGAGAGTAGGCGAGTCAATCAGACGAAGAGTTTCTCTGCCAGAAAACGCCTACTGGATTACCCTGATGAGAACGTACGCTGATCATTCCGACGACTTGGAGGGTCGAATGAAGACGTGTGGCAAGCGTCCATAGTGTCGCTGCGACATCGCGACAACGGGCGCATAACAACGATTCCGGCGTCCTTGTTTGGGGCGTGCTTTTCTAATTCGCCGAAAGGCAATCGAGGCACCTCCGTGTCGCATCTGAACGATATTAGGAGTCGCCATAGTGTCAAATTAACGTTGTGTCAGTAGCGTCAACGGTATGCTCACCCATTCTACTACGAGAGATATACCTTCGGCCACTATTGATATTGAGGCTTGTCAACCAACCAAACCGAACTACGATTGGCCTCAAAGCTTGAAGCCTGTGTCCACGGGTACACTGACAGGAGACTCGAGCCCCGTCAAGAGCAAAGCTTCTTTACATGTGTCGATTGCTTGTTATGAAAACACAGATACGAGGAGAACGTAGGTAGGAGTGCAGATGAGGTGGCACTGAGCATTTACTCACAACTTCAAGTCGTCTTTCGCCACAAGGTCACGGTCACCACAGAGGTACGTAGACGGAGGCGGTTCGTGAGGATGCGGAATGCGGGACGCTTCCGGGCCGTTACCTGGGCCCCCGGGCCGCTCTTGACGCTGGCAGTGTCGCCTGCCAATGCATTTTGCCAGTGACTACCAATAGGTGAATAGGATACTACTACGTTGTCGTCAGAGATGTTGCCAAGGATGTCGATGATGTCTCAGATCGTCAACGAGGGATTTTACCAATAGGACGCTATAAGGACAAGTCATGTCGTAGCTAACACGGCATGATGATCTCTGGCTGATCCGAGTGGGTTGGAGTGGTTGCTCAGAATATGGGAACCAATGCAATCCTTGAACGATACAACTAAGAGATCGCAGATGAGAGGCCTTCTCATCTTATGGGCCAGTACAATCTATGTTGGGGGACATTCAAGATAAGATGTCGCATACATAACAGGATGGAAAGATCTAAAGAGTCCTTCTGTTCTCCAATAAATACGCGGGAAGGCTTGCGGGTATCTGGGTATCACGAAGGAAGGTCGAATTTTGGCAAGCTCAGAGCGAGCGGATCTCCCGGACGACTAAGCTAACATTCAGAATATTCCTTTTGGACTTTCTCCAAGGTGTCTCTCCATACCTCCTCCACGTCGGGAAAGTATGGCGACGCACCATCCCCATCCTCTTCTCTGGTCAGACCAGCCCCGAGGAAGCCCTCCACGGGGGCTCCGAGAGGTTCAACGAAGTCAACTAGCCGTCGGCAGAAGCTGTCTCCCGTCTGCGGCGGCACGGGGTTCGAGTCGCTATTAATGCTGCGTGAGGTGACGAATTGGATGGACTGGGACATCCGGCTGCTGAAGGTGATGTTGCTCATGACGGATGGTCGGTTATAATTGCGAAGGTTGAGTATATAGCGGGAGACCACAATAGAAGTCAGCCTGTGCAGCACCGTGGTTAAAGCAGGCGGACTTGAGAGAGAGATATCAGTACATACGCTTCTCCAACAGTGGCCATGAAACTTGGGAAGAAGTTCGTGATAATACATGCCAGATGAACTAGGTTCAGAAATGAGAGGATGCTATATATGTTGTAGAGGTCAGCAGGCAGGTGCTGTGTAAGCGGCGCGGGACGACGCACACGAAATGGAGGATGCCTACATCAGCAGCTCAGTACGAAATATGCTGCAGCCAAACACGTGGATGTCTCCGTACCGTTGCGAAATAGCAGCACCGAAAGAGACCGTTTGAGGCCACCTTCCTTAGCTGCCTTCCGTGCGCCACTCGTCTTCTTGCATATGACAGCAACAACAAGCAAGTCACCAGAGATCATGACGGTACGAGTGACACCAGACACTACATTTTCGTCAAGTTCTAAGGATTTCCTAGACATTAACATTGGCAAACCACGCACAGCTAACGTGAACCTATCTTCAGTCTCTTAGGTATCTGTGATTGAACGACGATGGCTCACATCAGATTCAGACGCCAGGATAATTCGTTGAAGAGCATGCATAGCACCGGCCCTCGTTGCAGCCGTGGCGAGACTTGCGTGAACAACAGATACTACGACAAAGAAGGTCAGTATGTGCACAGGCAGCGGCAGAAGACCCTTGAATGATAGTCCCACCGTCTCTGTTGCCACTGGGAACAAAAATATCGTGAGAACTACGACAGGCAGGTATATTTTGGATTGCGAGAGGACGAAAACCCGCATCGTTGAGAAGGCTACATGACAAATGTCAAAGAGCCTGCGGTTGTGTTTCTGAAAGTACTTACCCGCCCAAACCATATAAGCCAGGATGACCAGGAAGTTGGTAATCTTCCAGAGTCGCGCACAGCTGGAAAGCCCCATTGCTGTCATTGAGAGATATTATGTTATTGGAGGGCATTATAGTCACCTCTGCAGGAAAGCGCCTGTATATGTGAGATGCTACGACCATTCAAACGAGATGCTCACCGTCTGTGTAGGGGCATGTTCACTCAGCATGGTGAACAAATATTTCGCCAAGGTGATGTAGCGGTTCAAGAAGAAGATAAGAGTTGCGCCTCTAAGCCTGCGATGCCATACTAGACGGATTTCCAGGTCGAGAGTAAGAAGAAACTCGTAGAAAACGAGAGCTAACGATTGTCAGTGCGTGTCGTGAACTGGACCATATAGATTGGCCCTCTTACTTGCTGATGCTACCAGAACCCAATGTTCGATTAGCCTTGTGGCGGTATGAGTCCACAGCATAGGAGCAACCTCAAGAGCATTTCGACTCACGTAGAGTCAGACAAGTCTAGACGAGCTAGTTGGGACTGCATGATCCAGGACATGTTGACATGAACGCGAGAGTATTGGGGGCAGCGACAGGTGAGATAGAAACGGGAATGAAGATCTGGGGCCTGTCGTTTCAGACGGGTATTTCAAGAATTACCAACTTACCGATGCCCTCAGTGATAAGATATCATGGATGTGCGATGTACTGCCATGGATGTCAATTTTAGTGTGATACAGGCAGTACACTTGGACCAGCGTACCTCAAATCGGATGTGTTGTATCAGAAGGATTGTGACATTGAACCAAGGGTCCGTATAGATGGGTACGAGATCGGTAAACGCACGACAATGATCACCTCTTGTGCGCTAGCTTCAGTACAATGAGCAGGTGCCATGTTAAGACGTACGTACCCCATCTCCCTTGCTGCGCAATAGCTCTCGTAAATGTGCAACCGTATCCTTCGCGACGTCTTTCATCAACTTGATCTTCTGACGTGCGATGCCATGTTTCTCAGTCACGACGGTTTTGGTTTCGTCGTATCGGTTCTTGACGGCTGCGATATTGTCCACCACCTTCTTCAAACCGGAAGAATGGTAGATGGTATAGACTGTGCTGGCACGATGGGTCAGTGGGTACAGACAGTACATGTCTGGACATTGCTGGATGAGATCATGCTTACTGCCGAGACACCGACGGCTACAACGCCACCTACACCCCCTATGAAGTATGATAGCATCGTGTTGCTCGCAAGGGTCTTGGTCCATGAAACTGGGGCTTTGTGCGTCCAGTAGCGATGAGTAAGACCGATCCCTGTAGGGCGGGAGGATGGGCGACAGGCTGAAGAGCGGACCCGGGGCAATTGGCGGTACATCTGGATATTGAGCTTGCTAGGGTTCTTCGCGAGTGACATATCAATGGGTGTTACGGATTCATTTCCTCATATTGTCCGCTTCTCCGCAGCTACGAAGAATGGGGACACCAGTCTCGATGAGACCGACTCCACGATGTTAGCACGAAGCACACTGCCGCCGAGTGTACACGCACTCAAATGGGCGCTTTCTCGAAGGTCTTATTTTACGTTGGCTTTGCTGAACGACCATCGATATCATGATAGGGAACTGACGGCCAGATGGACGCACACATCCAAATAAACACCTGCCTGGCGTCCATTTAGCCGTCAGTTCCCTGTACTCCAGTTTGATATACGCTAGGAACGAGTGGAGTCTCATCTGGATGAAGACCCTGAGTACAATGTTGGAGACAACAAGTACTTACATACGTAGCCCAAAGGGAGGTACAAGAGCCACGGGTAAACCATGTTGCTCCGATCGGGGCTTTGGACAGGTGCAGGGACTAACATTGAACGTTAACGCGTTAACGCTAACCATACTGTATTAAGTCAATATTGCAAAGCATATATGTGGTCTCAGCAGTCTCATCGCTGAAGACAATACAGACAGTAAACACTTCTCGCAAACGGTTTGATTCTGGAGAGCAGGGCTTATCATTGGTGGAGAACGAGCGAGGCGGTGATTCAGACCCGTGTGCGAAAAGACTCCAATGGTCAGAGATTGAATGTTGAAAATCATCGAATGAAGGCCGTCGTCGCCACCACGACCTAACCGCCTCCGACTACGCCCTGATCGGCGAACCGCCGAGTGGGCGTTACTTACAAGCACGTCTTGCTCAAGCATATACTTTCTCAATCACCCCCTCATCTCATCCCCCTCCCGCTCTCAATCTCAAGGTCTTGCTTCTTTCTCTACTCGCCTGCTTGATAGTCATGCGCTCAGCCATCCCGCTGGCATCCGCTCTTTTCACAGCAGCTCCTACTCTTGCGGCGTACAACCTCATCAAGGAATATCAGGGCTCAGACTTCTTTTCGGGTTGGGAATTCTATGGGAACTACGATAACTTGACCAACGGTGCGAATATCAGGATCTCGTCAATCTGTTGAAAGTCGGTGCGAACAGCTGTTGTAGGTGATGTCACCTATCTCGACCAAGCCAACGCGACGGCGTCGAAACTGGCGTACGTGAACGATGCTGGGAACGCCATCATCAAGGTCGACGACACGAGCTTCGTGCCGTGGAACGATAAGCGTAATTCGGTACGTTTTCGTCTTGTGCTTCCCATGAGTCGCGTGTTGGCTGGAAATAACTCAACGTCGGAACGAACACACCAGATACGGATCGAGACTTACGACTACTTCCCTGTTGGCACTGTCCTTTTGTTTGATGCTGTTCACCTGCCCTATGGCTGCTCGGTGAGTGCTGTCGTCACGCCTCACAATGCACATCACAATGAGCTTATGGCATGCTCGTGATGATCGTAGGTCTGGCCCAGCTTCTGGACCAAGGGCCCCAACTGGCCTGCCGGCGGTGAGATCGATGTCCTCGAGGGTGTCAACCTCATGACTGCCAACCAGATGGCCCTACACACCTCAAGTGGCTGCACTGTGGATGGCACGGACTGCTCGAGCGGTGCTGGCTGCACGGTGACGGAGAAGAAGGACAGCAGCTATGGTCAGGCCTTCGCTGCCGCCGGTGGCGGAGTTTGGGCCACTCAGCTCGATACGACTGGTATCAAGTGTGTTCTCAGTTGACATGTCGGAGTTTTAGCTGATCGTGCTGTTGCATAGCATCTGGTTCTGGAGTGTAAGTCATTTGCTCGGTGGTGAGGTTGGCCCAGTGAACGTTCGACACCCCCTTATGTGGAAACCACGAGAATTTGCGACCTTTCGAACTCGTCATCCCCGGCGCGGAAGTGCAGAGGGCAACCCGGGATGAGGCGTGTCAAGAGGTGCCGAATTTTCACTGGACCAACCTAACGAGCCACTCGGCACAATGTCAGGTGCAAGCAATTCACGCTATCCTCACAGCGCAACGATATCCCGGATTCGGTGAAGAGTGCCACCAACACGGTTGACCCTACCTCCTGGGGTACTCCGTCTGCCTCGTACCCTTCCGGCTCATCTTGCGATATCAGCCAGTTCTTTACTCCCCAGCAGCTTGTTCTCGACATCTCTCTTTGCGGTGATTGGTGCGATATACACGTTGCAGCATCGAGCTTAGATTGGACGCTGAACATCTTGCCAGGGCTGGTCTGGCAAACGTCTACGGGCAAACCTGCGGTACCCAGGGCCAGGTCAACTCAACTTCTTGCGTATGTCACTCTTACATTGTAAGCCCTTTGCGACAATCATTCACATGGATCTATCTCTAGTACCTCGAGAACGTCATCAACAACGGCAACTACTCCAGCGCGTACTTTGAGATCTCCTACATCAAGGCGTTCTCCTCCCAGGCCGATACCTTCGTTGCAACCGTGTCTGGTAGCAGCACTGGTCTTGTGTCCCAAACTGCGACCGGCACGGCTGCGACCGGCGGCAGCACGGGCTCGCCGACTAGCGGCAGCAATAGCAACGGCAACAGCACTTCCACGGGGTCGGGGTCGGGTAATGGTGCGGCTGAGACCGCTCCTCGCGTCTACCTGGCGATCGCGACTTGCGTACTGTTCTCGTTCTTCAACTGGGCCATGATCTAGGTTGTTCCGGTGACGGCATTGACATGTTGAGATCTGAAGGACCTTTGCTTGAATCTACAAGGACGTCTAGTCGACGAACAGTGTATTGATCAAGCTACTGTTGCTTCTGTTCATATTCTGCTATCGATGCGATTTGCTCTATGCATCGCTGGTGGTATTTACTGTATTCCGGCTACGGCGTATGATAATGGGGTTGATAGGCAGTCTGCTTGAGGGCCGAGAGCGAAAACCTAGGCGAAGACGATGTGGGTAAGCGACACGAGCAACAAACGCCGGCTGCACGTTGCTTGAGAGCTTGCCACCACCTACAAACTCTAGCTTGGAGTGCTGCTTGATCTCGACGTCGCGGCAGTCTCGCTTTGATGTATTCATAGCTTTCATTTATCTCACTATATCCGCTCGTCGACGCAGACTCCTGCCTACGACTTTCATATCCCGCAAGTGACTTTTGCCTGTACGCCATGGACCACCGGAGCACGCTCAGCATACCCCCGAAATCTGACGCGTCGCTGGCCGAATGGACGAGTAAGATCAAGGAATTGCAGAAGCAGGTGGACGAGGACGAGGAGGCAGAGACCAGAAGGCTTGAGGCTGAGATCGCGGCGTCGAGACAGGCTCGCATGCGTAGGAGCACGAACCTTGGCAGTCGGACGAACAGCGTCGATCTCTGTGAGCATTGTACAAACTCACATACACTGCGTTACCTAAATGATCGGCGACTCCAGCGCAGAGCACGGTCGCCGCTGCAATCAGGGCCGAAGACCAATCTGTGGTCTCGGACGAGCCTTTGACCGCGCTGCAAAAGCAGCGGAACCAGGATGATGCCCTCCGCAAGCTCATGGGAGAGGATAACAGCCAGAGGGCTCCCAGCCGCTCTCGTGCACCCCCGTCTCCAAAACCTGTATCTCCTGCACCAGTTTTGGCTAGGCGTCCCTCCTCCCCAATATCGCTTGCTGCATTCATAGGCGGTCGAGCTACCGGACCTAGACTGACGAAGCATGCCCCGCAACAAGATGCCCATGATCCAACGCAGTTCGAGCAGCGTACCCACATATCTGCTCCGCATCCAATATTTGGCCGTGGAGGCGTAGCGATGCCCGGTATGACGGGCAACGGGAAGGCATCGGTGGTGTCTCGCGCTATCCGCGAGAAGGAGGCCGAATCGTCGTCAGGCTCTGCTGCACAGCGAGACCGTCGCACTAGCACCCCCACGGCTGCTGTCTCTACTATTCCTCTACGTTCGGTGGCGGAGAAGGCCCAGGAGCGCGAGCGCGAGATCATCCCGAGCTACACCGGTTCTTCGCAGGCCAACACCATCCGACAGCGCACCATGAGCACGCCCACAGGCGCCACACCAGCCAAGACCAGTATCCCAGATGAGACATTTAACACTAAGCCCAAGGCCAATCCGATTTCTCGACCACTCTCCCATTCACCGAACCCAATCATCATTCGTCCCATCACTCCCAGGTCAAGCGCAGGGTCGAGGTCGCCTGCCCCTCGTCCTTCGTCCTCGGCTTCCACATATCCGGCTTCGCCGTCTTCGCCCATACCCTCCTCCAAGCAAGTGGTGCCATTGCCTGGTCTTGCACGTCCGATTCAGCCCACGCCCCGCCATTCGCTTGGGAGTCCCCAAATGCCACCTTCGCAGAATCCCTCGCCGGCCTTCCTCAAGCCACCACCCGAGAAGCAGCCGACGCCCAGTCTGAGCCGCCTGCAAGGTCGTGGTTTCGTGAAGAAAGTGGTTGAGAAGAGCGCGTCGCTCGAGGTCGGGTCGCCTGAGAGCTCTCCGACACCAGAACGCTCCTTCACTCCTTCCGGGAAGAGACAGAGCTCGGTACTCGACCGTTGGCAACATGGCCCAGGCGGCTCCCCTACTCCGCCGCCCGTGATCTCCCCAAAGCCCATGCCTATGCGCAAGTCCTTCACTGCTGACCCAGCCTCACCTACGACGTCATCCTATAGCGTCCCGCTGAAGGGAGATGACTCTCGCCCAGGCCTCAAGTCCAAGTCGTCGATGCCTTCCCTCCCGACTATGTTCACGGGAAGCTCTATCGGTGCATCCTCTTCGGTAAGCGAGAGCGGGTACAGTGGCCCAAAGCTTGGCTCATCCAAGACGGTGATCACATTCATCCAACCCTCGAAGACTGGCGATCAGCCGCCGAGCGCGTCGCCTCCATCTGGGCCAGAGGTAGACGAGCTTGGGATGCGTGTTCGTACGCGAACAATCAGTGGCGGATTGGTACAGGAGCGGGGCGAAGCCGGTCTGCCTGTGGACGCACCGAAGGGTCAGCCGCTCAGTCATGTACGTTCCTTTTGGTAACACGGTTGTTTCTAATATGTTGCAATCGGACTTGGTCAGTCCACATGCAGAATACATATCCATTCGTGTTCAGTTTCGGTTCCCTGCTTTGTTCTGTCTGCGACGTGACTAAGACTGATGCGACGATCTTCGTCTTTGCGTGCAGCCTACGAAGGACCGTGCAAAGAAGCCGCGCAAAGGGAAGAGCGCCCCCGCCTCAGCACTTGTGTCGAAGTTGGGTTCGATACGCGAGTCGTCACCGACGAGGAACGAGACGGTTCCGCTGGCGACTGCCCCACACGTGGCCGACAACGAGCGTGCCACGCCGTCGCTTTCCCCGCCCCAGACCTACGGGCCAGTCCGCACGGTTTCCCCGACCTCTCAAGGCCCAGCACCTCCCGCGACGAAAGGTTCGTCGGACTCCTCTGCGTCGAAGCCCATCATCCCTCCGAAGCCTTCTCTCGATGTCGACACGCGTCCTGTGGCGGGCACCCCGGGAGAGACGATTTCGGTGCCGACGGGCCCCCTCGCGCCTCATCCAGGCGGACGCAGTCCTGCGATTACCCCTCCCCACAACACTGCGCAGAAGTCGCCCTCCAGTCCCGCACGCCATTCACGCATACCGAGCACGGGCAATCGTGCGACGGTCATGGATGTCGCGCATGCGTTCACAGAGGCATTATCGCGGGAGCCGTCGATCTCCCCATCGCCCCCTTCCTCTGTTGTAGAGAGGCAAGCGGTCTCTCCACCATCCAGCCTCGGCGCATCTCATGCTGCTAAGGAGGAAGAAGAGGAAGACTATACCCCGCCAAGTGTCAGGAACATGGTCGCTAACTGGGGTCCTCGCAATACTACTACGCCACCAAATAATGGTACATACGGGGCCACTAATGGCGCGCACGGAACGAACGGGAGCGCCACACAGACAATCGTAGCGCCACCGTTGGAGAAGCGTAAGTCAAGTTACGAGAAGTACTCGGCCTTTATCCTGCCGCCACTTGCTGAGGAGCGGACACCTGTTGCATCGCCTGCGGGAACTCTGAAGAGTGAAGCTGCCCCTCCACCAGAGGCATTCGCAGAGGATGAAGAAGAGTGGGAGCCGCCCGCGATCGGGGCTAAGGCCCCCGTTGAGGAGTCGAGAGATGAGCTCGTAGCCGAGGCTTCTCCTGCTCCCGAGATTGTCGTGGTTGAGTCGGTCAAGCCTGAGCCTCGCGCGGAGACCATCCAGTTAGGTGAGAGCTCGGTGTCTCACATGGTGCTCTTTCGTCACTTAGGAAAGTCGTAGTGCATGACGACCAACCTCTTCCGCACGTCGACGTCGACGCCCTATACCGCACGTCGCGTCCAACACACGAGCCCAATTCGGACGTCCGAACGATTTCCGTCGAGGTTATGGCTATCTTAGGGAACTCTGCCACTGCCATCGGCAAGGACGCCCACGTCTTTTATGATTCGGAGCTTCTCGCGGTCATTCACCGCGCGAAAGTCAAGTCCAGCGGGCTCGTCGCCACGAAGGTCTGGGCGTGGCACGGAAGACGTGCGCAACCCGACGAGCGTGAGTTGCAGAAAGTCCAGGAGCTCGCCCGGAGGTATGGAACGACGCCGGTGAGCCTCTGCTGGGTTTACGCAGTCGCGAGGGCTGCGGCGTACTGATAGTGGCGGCGTTCCAGGTGCCGGTGGAGCAAGCTCGGGAGCCACCAGAGTTTGTGTCTGTGCTTGGTGGCACGCTTGCGACGAGGCAGGGTACCCGCGCCCATTGGAGCCCCGAGAACACTGCGATGCATGTCGTACGTTCTCTTCAGGGCTCGATCTACATTGACGAGCTCGATCTCGTGAGTGGTATCACTATCGCGCTTCGACCTACGCTCTCCTGATTCTTCGTCGTCGTCAGGGCGTCAAGAATCTCTGCTCCGGATACAGCTACTGCGTTTCCATCCTGGAGACCTTCTATGTCTGGTATGGACGTGGTTCCACTCTGGCTGAACAAGCGGCCGCACTCGCGTATGCCAAGACGCTTGCGCCCTCGGAAGAGAACATTATTGAACTACCCGAGGACCAGAGCCAGGATGAAGAGATGTTCTGGATGATGCTCGGGGACGGCGATTATGCCAATGCTGATTACTGGAAATGGCGGGCTAGCGCACCTTGTGTCGATCCGCGCCTTTGGGTGGTAGATGATTCCCAAGACGATGTGGTGAGCTTCTTGTGTCCGGCTTCAAGACTACTTGGGGCAACTTTTCAAGACCATATTGACGCTTGGCGTACCTCGCAGATCCGCTCTGTATCTGGATTCCCGGCTCACGCGGAATTCAATCGGCAGGTATACCTGGTCGACTGCATATGGGAGCTCTTCGTCGTCATCGGCAGCGAAGCTCGTGGTCGACGACTCGAGATTCGTCTCGCGCTCTCTGTGGCAGATGTAAGGCAGCCTGCTGTCCTGAACGAGCGTTGAACTGAGCGCCGATCCGCTATGTAACAGACTCTTGCAAAGAAGGCCTCCGCGACAAGGCCGTTCACACCTCCAGTCCATGCATTGGTCTTCCCGACACAGATACCCACGGACCTCCTCCTTACATTCCGCGAGCTTCACGAATCTGACTTGGTCAGTCGGCTTGGGTCCATATGTGTCCGCGGTCCCGTGTGCTGACCCGTGGACAGAATGCTGGAGATATTCCGGACCACATGAATCTGGTACCTGCCATCGAAGCAGATGCTAACGTGCGTTCCTTCGTCTGGATCTTAGATTCCACGATGGAATCGCGCGCTGACGTATCTCACAGTTGAACACGACATTGTGGACGTCAGCCGCTCTGCAAGACCACACGATGCTTCCCCTGGGCGTCCACCCATCGAATCTGAGCTGAACCTGCTTTTTGTCTATTGCTACCTCGTCAGCTCAGGCTTGGGCGACCGTTGGCAGTTGTATCGCGAAGCTAACCATATGGATGTATGACAGCCAAACCGACAGCCAGTGAATGCATTAGATTACCGCTTCGAACTGTCAGTGCCCAAGTAGCGCGTGATCGCGTCTTCTCGGTGTGGTCAAGAGACACGTGTCTTGTGCAGTTCCGCGTGCGGCGCAGCCCGTATGGGTACTGGCTATCGGGCGCGACAGTCTACCTCCGCTCTACGCTCGTTCGGCTGGCAAGTGAACGCTTCGCATTGACCCCGACCATCGATCATCGCAGTACCCTGGTCAGCGAACGGCCTCGACCAGAGAATAAGCCCGGGCCGATGACCTTTGATTGGGACCCGATCAGAAAGAACGCTTCTTGCAAGGTTCGGCCACCCGTCAGCCTCTTCTTGGTCGTACTTGTACCGTCCAGGGAAGCATGGAGCGCTCCCTTGTTTGGCCGGCTGGACCGCCCTGCCCACCTGGAAGCAACTCCCGAGCGTTTCGCTGTCTTCGCGGTACAGTACCGTGTCGTTCTTGCACTATATATACCCGCGGCAGCAGTTGCAGGCAGATGAAGAGCCGTCTTGAGCTCTGCGAAACAGCGCTCCCCCTCACTCCTCCTCGTCCATACCCTCCAGCCGGGGACGCGGGATGGTGCTCCCCGCAGTGCTGGGCGCGCTCGCGCTCTCTGCGCTGGCCTACGCTGCTCCCTTCGAGAGTGGCGTACAGCCACACAATCACAATTTCAGGGCTACGACGGTCGCCGCAAGCAAGAACGCGACCACGAAGCCGCAGCCCGGCGCGAAGCCCGCGCCGTTCTGCTACCCAGCCCTCGGCTTCGTGCCGCCGTTTGAGCTCCCTGAGGACAACACCGATTGGTGGTGCGATCCGGCGACGGAGTACGCGTTCGTCGGCTTCAGCTACGAGGTCACGGCCTGTGAGTGCTTGAGTGTCGACCGGGCTTACGCCTTAGCCTCCCGCTCATTTGCGAGAAACAGGCCAGAGCAGGGCTCAGCTCCATAAGGAGTTTGCGGACATCCGCTACCACTTCCGCTCTCGCTACGTTCGCCTGTACGGCGCTTGCGACCAAGATGGCTTTTAGTGCGTAGGTCACCGTCATGGACTAGGAAGACCATTTCACGCGTTTCTTGCCAGCGACGACATCGTGGACGCTGCTTGGGCTAATGGTCAGCACAACAGCTATACTATGGTCCGATGCTCTCCTTGTTGACCGTATTTTGCAGGGCTGGGCGTTCATGCGCTCGTCTGGGTAAGCGCGTTTGTCCCCAATCCGCCCGCGCTCCTCCCTCAAAATGACATCTTGGGTCGCAGTTCGGCTTCAATCTCGATGATGTCTGGATCTCTCGACGCGACACGCTCTTCGCCGCACTGCACGCGAATCCCCTGGCGAAGTTTGTGACGCGCGTGGTCCAGTTCGGCTCAGAGCCGCTCTACGACGGCGTCCTGCCCCACGACCAGCTGGCCGAGCAGGTCGTCCTCGCGAAGCAGAACCTGTCGAGCCTGAACATCCCCGTCACCGTGTCCGAGCTCGCGTACGGGTACCAGGAGCGCGGGGGTGCGCAGGACGTGCTCGACGCTATCGACTCCATCAACATCCACATGCTGCCCTTCTTCTCGCAGAACGCTTCGACCTGTGCGTCCACGGTCCTCGTCAGCTTCTTCGCTTCGCGCACGCTGACTTTGGTGTTTGTGCTGGCATGATCCGCCTCCAGCTGACCAGGCATGGCCTCTGGTCCTGAACGACCTGGATTGGTTCATCGCCCACGGAAACGGCAAGAAAATGTACTTTGACGAGGTGCGCGTTCCCTTGCGCGTGCGGACCTGTCAAACATATCAGCGTTCTAACTCAATCCCGCTCACGCCCCAGAACGGCTGGCCGTCGGTCACGTCCCCGAGCGTGCAGCCCAACAGCCCAGACGCCGTCGCGGACATCCCGAACGAGCACGGATACTACGTCCTCCTCGACCAGCACTGCGAAGACCTCAAGGCCGTCGTGGGGGGCGGCATCGGCTGGTTCGCGCACATATACTCGGACAACCAGGAGCCCGGATACGGCATCTACAACTCCTCCGGCCACATGAAGTTCCCCTTCGCTCCCCGGACGTTCTGCTAGCGCCGGAGAACGGATAGGCGCCCACGCTCGGCGCTGGAGCGCGAATGCGACGAATCCAGATGACGACGATGCTCTTGACGACCTACATACCACGATGGTGATGATCCCCGCGCCTTTGCTGTACTGTTAGCACCGAAAGTGTAATTGTATCACGGTCCGCGACGCGTCTGCGATGTCGAGGATGTTGATGAAGCCTCGATGTCTGTTTGGATTCCACGATCGGAAAACCGATTGTTCCTCGCAGGCCAAACACTGCCTAGCTGCCCGCCCGTATGGTCTTGGGCCTCCGCCCCGAGGCTCCCCTGGGTAGGTATTTGTTCCTATTCGGCGTCTTGATGCCGGTGCTGCCCAGTGCCAAGACATCCCCGAGTCGCTCGGGGTGCGATCCACATATTATTTAGTAGGCGGCGCCGCCATCTTGACGAAGGCTTGCCCACTCTCCCTCTGTTCTCCCTGCAGCCGCACCACGGTCTCTTCCCGCGGGATCCTCCACGATGTTCTCCCTCACGCTCTTTACGCTCCTCGCTCTTTCCGGCTTCTCCTCGTTCGTTCAAGCCGCCCACATCAAGCTCGCGCACGTGCACCACGCTCGCGCGCCCGCTCCCGTCGGCTCTCCTGCCACACACGCGAGGCAGCGGCGATGCGCTGCGCACAGGGCGCACAACTCGTGAGTCTCAGCACCATCCCCCCGTCGCGAGGCGCAGAGCTGTCGGAGAGGCTAAGCGGATGGAATGTATACCAGCACGGCCTCGGTTGCACGGACGAGCACGCATACCACCAGCACGCACACCAGCGCCGCCCCACAGAAGACTCCGGCGAAGCAGACGTCGTCGGGTGCCAGCAGCGGCTGTTTCCCCGCGCTGGGGTTCGAGACGCCCGCGGACGTCCCGGACAGCCTCGACGGATGGTGGTGCGACGACAAGACCGAGTACGCCTTCCTCGGGTTCAGCTACGAGGTCAGCGCCTGTGAGTGTCGCAGCCCGCGCTCCTTGTCGAGGGTCATTTTGAGAGTTCATGATGGCCGCGAATATCCAGGCCAGTCTCCTAGCACGCTCGACAAGGACTTTGCGAACATCCGCAACAACTTCAACGGACGCTACATCCGGCTCTATGGTGCCTGTGACAACAAAGGGTTCTAGTGAGTGCATATCCCTTCGCGCAACGGAGGACGCACCCCTGAAGGAGCTCACCCAGCGACGACGTTGTGGAGGCTGCCTACAAGAACGGTGCGTCGCTAAAGTTGACCTCTGCGCCATCGCGTAGCTGATTCCCGCCATAAACAGGCCTCGGCGTCCACGCCCTCATCTGGGTGAGTGAGCCTCTCTTTTTCTGTTTCCACTCACCCGACCATCATCGCGTGTACCGCGAATCCTAACCCGCTCGCGCGCAGTTCGGCTTCGACGGCGACAACAAATGGGAGACCCGCCGCGACGCGCTCTTCTCCACCCTCCACTCGAACCCGAAGGCCAAGTTCGTCACGCGCGCGGTCCAGTTCGGCTCCGAGCCGCTCCTCGACGGCGTCCTGCCCGCCTCGCAGCTCGCGGCGCAGGTCAGGGCCGCGCAGGACAACCTCGCGGGCCTGAAGATCCCCGTCACCGTCTCGGACATGCAGTGGTCGTTCCAGATGAACGGCGGCGCGGGCCTGAAGGTCCTCGACGTCGTCGACGTCATCGACGCGCACATGCTGCCGTTCTTTGGCCGGGAGGCCACGACCGGTGCGTTCCGCTTGCCTCTCGGAAGCCGTGCGCTGCGCTCATGACTCTGCGTGTGTGTATATGTGCGCGCGCGCGAGTAGCGAACGCAGCGTGGCCCTCCATCAAGAGCAGCGTCGACAAGTTCTGGGTCCCCCAGGCCAACGGCCGCAAGATCTACTTCACCGAGGTGCGCCTTCGTCCCTTCGCCCTCTCTCTCTCTCTCGCGCGCGCGCGTATACACCCACACCGTCTGATCCGCTCCCCTCCCGTATATAGAACGGATGGCCGTCCGGGGTGCACGATGAGAGCCAGCGGCCGAACAGCGCGGGCGCGCAGGCGTCGCTCGCGCAGGAGAAGGACTACTTCGCCCTGCTCGACGCGAACTGCGCGTACTTCAAGTCCGTCCCCGGCGGCGGCCTCGGCTGGTTCGCGCACATCTACTCGGACGCGATGGAGGACGGCTACGGGATCCTGACCGCGTCCGGGAAGCTCAAGTTCGCCTTCGCGCCCAGGACGCACTGCTAAGCGCAGGCTTTCGGGGTTCGGGCTTGTGTTGGTGACAAAGCGCCTTTGTCTTTGTCTGTTGTGTTGTTGGCTGTCTGGATTCCGGGTGATATCAAGGTCTCTAGTGCTCACTTTACATACGTTCCATAGGTTCTTCAGGTTTGCACACCGGCCGAGGGGGGTGCACCGGTGCACGTCAGCTCCTACATGGTCGTTTCCGCTTTCTCCTTTCCACTTACTATTGTTCAAATGGGGGCTGGCGTGCCCGCGGCCACATACACCCCCTTCGTCTTGTGTCCCTCGAAGGGACCGCTGCTGTTGTATCGACTGTCGAATAGTCTGTTGCCAAATATAAGCCATGTTGTATCGTCCCGCATACGCGCTGCGGCGACGTCCGCATTGCGTGCTGTCCGGCTGCAGATTCGCTGTGTTGACCCTTGACGTCGATCGCAACGTGGAGATAGACATCTTCTCCCGGACATAAGGAGAATCGATACCCTTCCCTTTCCTGTCCTGAAAGCCGTCCAGCGTGAATGATGTGGGAAATCTCATCAGTCAACGAAGCCTTTGCACATTCAGCGCGACGCTCGTGGACCCAGTCGTCCGTGTCGTTCACGTTCTGACCTATGCCTGAGGCCTGAGGCCGCAATCAGTCTTCGAGCCGAGAAAGTGGTAATTCACCCGGTGACTGCGAAGCACTCGATGGACATGTAACAAAGCACACCCATCTCTGGGTGAATTTCCGCAACCGGGTTGAAAAGATGAATGCATATCGAACGGTGGCACCTTCCAAGCAAGCCATATCAGCGGCGTCCATTATAGAGACAAAGGAGCCGGCACAAACCACAGGCGGTGCATCCCGGAGTATGGAAGCACTCCGGAGGGGACCGCACCACATACATAGCAAGGCACACCGTACAACACGATAGAAGTTGTGCGCCACATCCGATGCATTGCGATATGTCCGATGGCATGATTAAACAAGACGTGATGCGTAAAGGTAGAGGCTCAGCATTGCTACAGTCCATTGAGTCCGTATCACAGTATCATAACAGCGGTCCGCGCACGTTCGGAGCGAGTATCACGATGGAGTAGCGAAGCACTGTGCTTCTTTGATCCAAGTCCTGTCCTTCCTCACGCAAGGACGAACAGTGCAGACACAGCCGCGACAAGGACCGACGCGGCGACGCCGACGATAGGTGCGAAGGAGAGCGCGGGCACGGCGCCGTTGGGCGTGACGGTCGTCGATGATGATGCCGACGATGCACCGCTCGCGAGCTGCGCGACGTCGGAGGGAGTGGAGCCGTCTGCGAAACACAACGGGGCATCAGCCGCAGTCCATACAGTCCGAACAATGCAAGTACAGCCCCGCTCTCATGCAGAGCGCACGAGGGGGCCACTACTTTCGCACACAGGGCAAGACGTACCGGTGAACGAGGCGCCACACGTGCTCTGCAAGGACGAGCCGATCGTGGACGGGAGGAAGCTGCCGAGCCCGCTGTTGAGCACGGAGTACACGCCCTTGACGCAGTCCGTGCAGGTGACGTTGGCGGGGATGCTCGGGGCGGAGCTGCTGTCCGCGAGATTGCTTCCGATCGCCTCGATGTTTGCGAGGGTGAGGTTGCCGGTGTAGGGCTGGACGCTGTCAAGGTATTCGATCACGCATAGCTGGTTGTTCTGCTTAGAGCTGCGGGTCCGCGGTATGCCGTAAACATTGGGCAAAGATGCATCATGCACAGTCGCACGAGACGGACGGGGGGAGGCGACGGGGGTACATGAGAAGAATACAACAATCAGCGTGTGAAGGAGGCAAAGGAATGACCACACTGTGAAGTGCGGAGAAAGGAGGACAGGAAGGGTGGGGTGACGGTTTAATGATGAGGAAGGACTTACTCGGCAAGGCACAGCGCAGAGCGAACGGTCGGATACGCCGTCTGCACAAGAGCAGAAAGCTGACTCGCGTCAATTCCAGACAGGCCGAGGCTGTTCAGGTCAGACTGGCAGCCTGACGTGACATTCTGGACGATGGTGGAGAGGGTGTCGTTCGAGCACGCCGGCTTCGCGCAGAGACCGGTGAGCCAGGTGTTGAGCGTCGGGACAATGGAAGCATTGCTGCCACTCGAGAGTACGAGACCGACGAGGTTCTGCGCGTTCAAACAAGACGCATCCGAAGAGCTGACAATCCCCGCTAGGGTGGCTTGACACTGCGAGGAAATCCTGAGGAACCGGGTGTGCGAGCGCGCAGGGCGGAAGTTTTGTCAGTGACAAGCCCTTGACGTACGGATCATCTGGTTGTCCTTACGATTGGGCAGAAGTGCCAACCATCTGCAGACCCGCGACAGCGGTGGCAAGGAGGACGAATTTGCTAAACGCGAACATACTGCTGAAAGCGTCGAGAGCTCTGAAAGCGCGAGGAATACGAGGACGGGGTGTAATGGGAGAGAAAGGGAAGAATGCAGCCTGCTGCGGGAATTCGGAGGCGTCAAGCTTTTGTATGAACGTGGTGCAGAGAAGGTCCGGACCTGTGAGGAGCAGCGAGCGGCGGGTGGATGCCTCATACTGCGGCGATGCGGCTGGCTGCGATTCCCGTCATCTTGTCACCGTAATCCGGTCAGGCGCCCCTACACTGATCGGGGAACAGGGTTGCTATGTATCCGGGATCCCACCCGCATGCCCCATCTCCAATGAGCAGTCTCAGCTACCTTTTTTCTTCCTCTTCGTTATACCAAAAATACCCCACGTGCATAACGACGGCTCATAATGCGGGTCAATGAACGCAAAGGTTTGTCAATATGCCAGCTGCGCTATCCTTGTGGTCTGAACAATAAATTACGAAGCCGCAGTTATCCTTGGACAATGTATAGCATTGAATCCCACTTGCGGTGTGCTACGCCGCATCATTCGGTATGATACACCTCATTCTCTCATGTTTTGACCACAGCTGGGATATCGTACAACTCGGGCTTGAACAAGTCCTGCGTATCAAACGCTCGCCATGTCCCAACATGCCACTAAGGTGGTCTAGAAGGCTTCGAGTGGGCGGGAAGATGATCTCACCCCTCTAACGGACCCGAAGAATTCTGAGGTATAGTGCAGTTGTCCGAGCCCTCCGCGGAGTTGCAAGTAGCGAAGTTACAGCAAGCGTTCTCGGTCGATCGCCTTTTACCATGCCGCTGAGGCTCGTAGGTGGTTGTGTCTTGGATACCTCTCTCCCAAGTGGTCGAACGTTGAAACGTGCATGTCTGACACTTGCAACTTGTCCAAGCCAGGAAAACAGCGGGGAGCTTTAACTGTATGTGCTAACAATAGGTTTGACCAGCCGATTAGAACGGAGCAACCTTGCGGGTGCAGTCTCGAATATGATGTGTTTTTGTCGACATCCACTGCCGGTTCCCTGTGTATCCTCAAAAGATCCTCGAAAAAGACAGCTTCATGAGCGCACTTGCCACGCCTGGAGCGATACCTCGCTCGTTCGGCCTGGGATACACGTCGGCATACTTGACTCTGTTGTCTATGTTTGTTAGGCCCCACCAAAGTGCTGACTGAAGGATTCGCATCAAGCTTCGCTGGCGACACAGCACGCGACTGCGGCGAACAGCATATGACATACAGCGCCCCGACTCGTCTCCTCGTAAGACCTACCTCGGCGCACTGAGCAGAGGTAACGGCCTTCTTCAAGATGAGGTACACCAGCTTGCTGAATCTTCCGTCGCAAACTCATGGTGACAGCTCATCCAGGTCTAGAATATGTCTCCGGGTCCGTGATTGTCAGCATTCATACCAAGCTTGATGGAACGACGTCTTACCTACGGATTTACTGTGCACCGTGAGTAGTGGCATTCCTGGGTACTGTGCGATCAAAGTCAAATCCTGGTTTGCGGTGCGATGAGCGATATCTTGCGTACGTCTCATCTCCGCGCTCGCCGGTGCAGGATATTGTGTGCAATGTTGCCGCGTGAGTCCCCTGGGGGGAACGAGGATCCAATTGGGTTCGAGGAACTTTAATTCTAGTCCGAAACTCACCCTCAGAGGTGCTGGTTATTGTGAGGTTTCCAATCTTCGGAGAATACGTGGCGGGATGGGTAATAGATCAGGAAGAGCCCTGGCTGAGCGGATGAGGAGGACGATGGTCAGGACCCTGGCGCACGGCGGGGTGCTGGAGCAGATGCACGAAGGGACGGTAAGTGGACCATTCTGACCTCAACATGACCGTACACGTACAAATGTGTTTATCCTCAGACAAACCCTCGCCAAAATCCCCACATCAACGGTTCTTCGGCGCGACATGCATTCAGTATTCATGAGCCGAGGAGGCCGATGGCCCAAGTTCCGGCCGCCACCATTGACCGCTGCTTCATAGCTACTTCATCTGATTCGGTGGCTATTTGTATGGTCACCGTCGCCTGGAGTCAATTAACCTGTCGCAACTGAGTTTCCGGTGAGCGTTTCTGCATCTAATCCAGGGGTCGATAGCTCACCTTCTCGAACATGGTCGTGTCACGTCGGTTCTCCTCTGTGTGACACAACATATGATCCATCCAAGGGCTCCGTATACACTTCCCTGTCGAATGGAACAGATGGTGCCGGTCCACCAGGAGAGAAACGGGCGCAAACTAATGGATTAATGGGAGCCATCTTACTCTGACGTACATTCCAAGCTGCATCCCTCTTCTCACACTATACCTCAATATTGAGTGCGTTTTCTGACCTACAGGACAGATTTACGTCAACTGATTCCGATGCTCGAGCGGAACCTTCCTAGGATCAGTCTCATCCTTGTTCGTTCTAGACACTAATCTTTCACCAGGAGCGTCGATGTGAAGGCCGGTGGGTGAGCGTTCAGTACTAGTCATTGTGGGGGTTCTCTCGAGAAATGACTCCAGTGCGAGAAGATCCAGATAGGTCACGTTCGGAGCTTCTGAGGCGTACACGCGGTGGCTGACAGGATCTGAAGGCCCCCATGCTGGTACAGGAAGAGCAGAGTTTCCTCCCCTGAAAAGGCTATATCCTGATACGCCGGAGTTTGTGGCGTCAATTAGAGTCTCGAGACTCTCATTTCATCGTCGGGTTCCCACTAATGTGCCATCGGTGTTGAATTCTCTCCGCCTTCTGGGAACATGCGCAGCGCATGCAGGTTCCCGGTCCGCGGGTGAGCTCGATCGGTCGCAAACGAGATCGATAGGTGGTAAGTGGTTGTACGTCCAGTTCATGAACTTGGCTGACCATAATCCTTCCCAAGACAGTGTTCACAGTTCTATCCGATCCGGGCTTCTATCCGATGACTCAAGACAGTGTCAGGACTGATCGATCACAAGTTCTTGAGCGCGAAGCCCCAGCTATAAAGTTCGTTACGTGTCTCCTGGCTAAAGCCCCTCGACATAGGGCATCTTCTGACCTGGTGAGCAGCTATCCTGTTTGGGACAAGACACTTCCCATGCGGCATCGAGCTTATAATCGTTCGGAGCTTACAGCAAACCTTTGTGCAGGGTCCCCGGGCTGTGGGAGTGTGGGAGTATAGGTCAGCAAACCACGATCGTGTCTTGGTGATTGGACTGCAGGGGGGTGTCGGGATAACCCCTCAAACGCCCGACGAAAAGCAGGGGCCGGTATCGCATTGACATGCTGCGGAAAGCAGCGCAAATCGTTGTATGCTGTGGGAAGAACGAACCAAGTTGGGGTCCAGGATGGACCGTCAATGAACTGGAGGAAAGTGGTGGTTCGAAGGCCTGGGTACCGACTCGGGGTGAGGTGCGTGGCTAGGGGCTCCGCAAGGGCTGCTGAGGACCTCGCCCCGCACCCACATCATCCGGGAACGAGCTTGAAGGCCGACGTCCACGAGGACGCATACATATGAGCTCGCACGGGATCACATAGAACCGGCCCCTTGATTTTTTCCATGCATCCGCCTGGCCGAGGTTACAGCATGACCCGCATTGGTGCAATAGTGGCAAGGCGATTCCCAGATTCGCTCGTTATTCCCCCGACATGGCTCCCTTTTGCCTCTTGCATGTATCGTCGATCGCCCATATTCCATGCATCAAGAGGCGAAGCCCAGGCACATGCCTCGGTCGGTGAAAGGAGCACGTCATACATTGCTCAAGGTTCTTCCTGTTCGTACCTTAGGGAGTTAGTAAAGTCCACTTTAGCCAAGACGTTTGCGATTACAAGCGTGACTACCGCCGCCCGCAGTATCGCTCAGTCAACTTCGTGTCATCAAAATGAATCATTCCCCATAAAAGTCAAGACCACGAAGAATAAGATATAGTCCAAACTCCCCTGGCGACGTTCGCCGAGCCAAAAAGAGCAGAAAACCCTATCATCAGGTGGAGCTGACGTCGAAATGGACATGAGACGCCTAAGCGCTAAATAGGCGCCTGTCTACCCAAACAAGCAGGTATCTCGACGTGTCACCGTGACTGGCACGATGCACTCAGGCTGCGTCTGGTATTTCGACGTCAGTTCCCTGCCAGGTATCTGAGTACACATGACGCAAAGAATTAACCGTGAGTCGCCGCTGCGGAGATACACTAGTGCGTTGTGAATGCCACTCAATATCCGGTGCTCTTATCGAGCTATCGGTCTTACAGACATGGCAAATCGGTCACGAGGATCCAGAACATAGTATTCATGAGTCTCAGGCAATACACATACGACCAGGTGAAGCGGAGGAACTGTACAAGCATTCTGATTGTTCGCTTGCTACTATCCAAGACGACGGGCCATCCTCCATCCCTTAGCGTCCATGTACCCCCGTTCAAACGGGAACGCCTCTTGCATCGCAGCCCTGCAATCCTCCAGAGCGTCAAGCATTCCCTGCCGTACGTCGGCCACCTCCTGACTGTTTGTGACTCCTGCGTCTATCTCCTGCTTCGAGCTGACGATTGCCTGACAAATGTCCGCGTCGATAACGGCGAGATAGTCTTCCATCTCGTCGTCTGGCACCCATCCTGGACGAGCCGCCCCAATCACGACCGCAGTGAGGATCTTCAAACTTGCAAGACCCATGCCAGCGCCGTACAATACGCGGCTCCTGCGGAGTACTTCTCCGAGCTCCCCGCTAGGCTTCCAAGCGCTATCGATACACTCTGCTGCGACGAACAGGGTGACCGGCTTTGGAACCTCGCATGCCGTCGCCGTCTTCTTCAGCCGCGTCCATACCGCTGTGACGAATGCTGCTGTAACCTCTGGTGGACTAGAGCACAGGAGGGCTCGGGTGATTGCCTGCATGCTGCGGTCTATGTGAGTGGATGGTAGCATATCAACCGATGCAGAATAGATCCTAACTCGGAGAGCTGGAGATTCGCAATGAGCGTATCGTGCATGAGATTCCTGGGGATTGCCAGCTTTCGGTCAACTCATATGTTGCGTTTTACAACCAAGCTACTTACACATGTCCAAATGCAGAAGTATTACTCGCGGTCGCTGACCCGGTGAACGACATCGTGCAGACAGGAGTTAGGAGCTGATGGTGAGATGTCGGGGGTTTGACTCGAAGTGGTCTATTGAGCCACTCTTTATGAAGAACAGCCGGGTTACTGATGATATACCGCTGTACATAGCAAGCACTCGCTTGGTCTACCCCGACAGACGTCCCATTGGTCCGGTGCCCTATCGCCAATGGCGGGTACACCGGCTCACAGAACGTTTCAGGTGTCTACCTGCATTTTCTAGATCATATTCCTGCAATACTCCACCACGACAACACATCGCAACCATGGACAGCAGCATCTCGTACCTCGACTTGCATCTGCGACAGTCTGTTTTGCTAGTTACCTCTAGCACGAAGACCCACGGACCGCGGAATAACTCTGGAGGACCCCAACTGGACGCAAGACACAGATGGTGGGAATATCCACATTAGCATCGTCGCCAAACATGTGGGATGGTGACAGCATGGAAAAAGTGGGTGGATCGACTCATTATGCGAACCGTATAAGCAACGGTATTGCCCGTTCTAATTGTGGTAAAGATCACATATAAGGTTATTCATATAAATGAGCGGTATCGCCTTACCAAAGGGGCGAGGTCGCTGACACTCCATCCGGCGATGCGACGATGCCTTGTGCTCCTGTGGGTAACAATCTATTTACCGGCGCGCAGTATCACTCCATGTAATTCAACGTGATCATGCGCCCGATAGGAAGCTCGTATCCCGCGGTGGCTTGGCGATCGTAGCTATCGATGCTGTGAGCTGAATAGAAAGTCATCCCTGAGTCCTCTGGTAGGGGATAGTGCGGCCGCCGACGATGGGCAAGATATAGTAGGATCTGCCACTTTGGCAGACTCAGATCCCCGCTGAGGTGACTTTGTCCCTCTATCTTCGGCAGAAACCTCAAATTCATGCCAGATGGGAATGACTGTACATAATTTCGGATACAATCCTGGAGGCAGAGACAGTGCAGAGCCGTCGTGAGGTCCTGCCTGAAATGTCAATCATTCAACAACCTACGTGACGAGGTCGTGTCACGCCCAGGACCAAATCGGGCTTTGATGACAGACATGCTGTGACGAGGCGATTCAGCGCGCTGTCTCACTGCCGGTGCACCGGTTCAACGATAGAATCACCTCTTTCACTGCCTATCCACACCTCGACTTAAATTCGCCCATGCAGACCGCTTGTTGTCTTACACACTTGTCGCCACGCATAGTGTTGCTAGCTCTCGGCCGATCACCGGTTCAACAAGGCAACCCCGAGTAGCATTTGTCGCAAGCGCTAGTATCCGCCGGTAAGTTAACAGATTGCCGTGCTCCGTCCGCTCCCATTTTCCTCGTCCTTTGGCCCTTCCATCCGGCTTTTCTGTAGAAGAGCTGGTCTGACAGGTACTTATAAAATCCAGGAACAATTCATTGATGCCTTGCACTAGATCCAGCTGTCCCCCGAGGTTCTGCCAAGATCGACACTTGTATTTTCAGCCATGGTCGTCATCTTCGACTCTGCCCTTAGAGGAGAAACTTTTCGCCTTGGCAATCATGACCTGCCCCGACTCTTCAACGGGCTATGGCAGTTGTCGAGCAATTCGTGGGGAAGTGCTCCTGCCGCCAAGATTCGCCGTCAGATGGCCATTTACGCGGAGAATGGCTATACGGCGTTTGGTAAGATCATAGATGTCCTACAAGCGATTGAACTTACTATGACTTGTGTTAGATATGGTAAGGCGCAATCTGCGTGCTGCGAAAGTGGCTCGGCGCTAATTTGTCCTCGTCCTCGCCTCGATTTGCTTGTAGGGTATGTCGTATGTTGATGGCACCTCGGGACACTCCTTACCATACTTTTGGCGTCTATTTAGCGGACCACTACGGACCTGCTGAGATTCTTTTCGTGCGTCGCTTGATAATTCGGCGTGGGTCATGACTCACTGCGTTTCCAGGGCGAATTTAGAGAGAAGTGGTCAGATCCTCAAGAGATCTTCGGCGCCACCAAATGGTGTGTTTTCAGGACCGTCGAACCCACGAGAGCGCTTGTCGAAGAGGCAGTGGACGATCGACTTGCCCGTATGCAGTCCCACCGTATCGATTTGCTTCAGGTACGAACATCAGCTGTATTGGCTTCGACGTGCCCTGACGTGACGAGCCCTGATCACGAAATCCCAGTTCCATTGGCAGGACTACGACGACACCCGCTACCTCAAAGCGCTGCATCACCTAAAGGATTTGCAAGGCGAAGGGAAGATTGGGCTGATTGGCTTGTGCAACTTCAACAGCGCAGTCATGGACGAAATCTGTACGGAGCTGGGCTCGGGTACGATTGTCTCCAACCAAGTCCAGGTGGGCCACCGCGCCTGACCATTGTTAATCCATCGTGGCTCCATGGGCTCACTTTTCTGCAGTTCTCGCTTATCGACGTTCGTCCGCTCTATGCCATGGCGGAAGTGTGCAACCGGCATAACGTCAAGTTACTGACATACGGCACTCTGGTGAGCAATAGTGTGCTCTATCCTGATCGGTACATCTCTAAATCATATGAACGCAGTGCGGCGGTTTCCTCGCCGATGCTTGGCTTGGCAAGGAAGAGCCAGACCTATACTCTGGATCGCTGACACCGTCTCAGCGCAAGGTCAGTCGCGTCTGAGTCAGCTTATCGGCGGAACTTCATTGAAAGTCGAGGTACAGTACTTGGATATGATTACTCGAGCGTGGGGCTCTTGGTCGCTCTTCCAGGATCTTTTGAAGGAGCTCCGTGCTATCGCTGACAAATATGATGGGATGAGCATCGCCAACGTGGCTACCCGCTGGGTACTCGACCACCCCTTCGTCGGGGCAGTTATCATCGGTAGTGAAATTTCTTTGTCAACGAGGCTCTGCCACGTCAGCTGACCCTCTGTCTTATCAGGTGTGAGGATGGGAGTTTCGGAACATACAGACGACAATCAGAAAGTCTACAGCTTCCGCCTCGACGGGGACGACAGAGTGAAAATCGAAGCAGTACTTGCGCGTTCAAATGGAGCACAACTGATTAAAAGTATCGGCGACTGCGGAGCCGAGTATCGCTAGAATCCACGGCTGCCCGGTCATTGCTTGCTCAGTCGAATGTACGCTAGTATTGTATAGATGTGTCCAGTTTGTTCCTCCTCCCTCCTGGCACTGGTTCAAGATCGGTGTCGGTGCATAGTGACTAAAGTCGCGTTCACAATTCGGATCCGCTACCGTCGGCGTCCGGAATCCGGATTACGCAGCACAGCATTTATCGGCCGCTACCGCGGAGCAAACAACGGACCGCGGCGAAGTGGCGCGCGAGAGCCTCTGTCCGGAATATCCCGTGGATACATAGCGGGGCTCAAGCGCCCAGAATATACGAGACAATTTCACTAAGCCGCAGGATATGTCTCGAGAGGTCTTTGTTCGAATGGATCATGGAGGGATCATGCCTTGGTGAGTCATATATAAAAGTCTCGGCTTTACTTTGGCCACGCTTGCAACGACACGAAACTCTAGGCCTCAACCTCAACTCACACGACGGTAGGTCAACCATTCATCGGTCAGTCCCGCGCCCGCCTCAGCGGAATGCAATGCAAGCACAGCATTGGAAGGATGAGCTTGTGACGAGGACTGCGCCAGCTATACGTCTTTCCTTCTGTGATAGACGGGAGGCTTGGTCCAATAAGCTTACTTCGCCAGCATCATTGGCGAAACATAATTGCTCATCCGGCATCCCGAGTAGCGCGTTCTGACCAGAGGCCCATTTGCCAGATTTCCCGTTGCGATCACTTATCAGACACGTAGCGTACAGCGCTGTATTGACGTCTCGTGAGCGGGAGGCGGTCCTGAATCCATAACACTGCTTATGGAATTGAGGAGTCCCAAAGATTTAGCAGGACAGCGCTGGATTACGGCGAACCACGAAACATACCGTGGTTCAATCCCATTGGCCGGAGAAGCTTGACGAAGTCTTTCCAAGCGCCAGGTGTCCATATTTTTAACGGACACGATCCCACATCCGCTTGGGTGCCGCCGCGGCTCCCTCCGCCTCCTGGCCCTAACGCAGGCAACGTGTTGAGATCACACGGGGGGAAATAATCACGCGCGAGTTGTTTCGGACATTTATATTCTATCTATCCACAGCGTCATACCATGGACACATCTAGCTTGTGGCCATATCCTTCACCCAACCAAAGTAGCGGTTCGACGAATTCCGATTCCCCACACCGAGATGCGCCTAGTTCCGGATCTGGAGAGCAGACGGGTTTCACAGTGAGTATCTTCAATATTCGAACCACATACGTCCGTTCATAACCTCCCATTGCACTAACGTTCTTCCTCACCAGACCCCTGCAGTGCATACACCTCCAGACGACGCTACCATCTCCATCGCTTTCAATCCATCCTTCCGAGTTGACGACCTCCTCCCTGATTCGATTATAATATCCTCCAATCACGTCTACTTTTACGTCCATCGACATCGCATCCTCAACATTTCCTCCAACGCTTTCCTCGGTCAATTCCTCCACGGAGGCCCATCCATCACCGGCCTGCTTCTGTCGGTTCACATACCCGAGGGCGGAGACGTCGCCAACGTGCTTCTCCATACCATGTACGGTCTTTCCTGTCTGCACTTCTATCCCTCCCTCGAGACCGTGGACCGCTCTCTCGAAGCCATGAAAAAATATGGAGTATCCATCGCAGCACACGCCACGCCCCAGTATCCACTCTACCACCTCATCCTCTCGCACGCTCCTCATCGCCCGGTCGAGACGTACGCCCTCGCCGGCCACTACGGGCTCGAGGATCTCGCAATCACCATCTCAAGCCATCTTCTGTCCTACGACACCTCCCGTCTCACCGACGACATCGTCACCAAGATGGGCCCCGTCTACCTCAAGCGGCTCTTTCTCTTACACCAGTCTCGCTTACACGCCCTCCGAGACATCCTCCTCCAACCTCCCGCCTCCCACCCCGCCACTCCTGGTTGCGCCGACGACGAGCGGGCAAAGCTCACCCGAGCTTGGGCGTTGGCCACTGCGCGGATGGTGTGGGACGCCACGCCCAGTAAGATCACACCATCGTTCCTTCTTACTTCGTAGACTCGTGATGCTCACCGTTCACGACGCTATTCATCCTAGGTATCTCCACAGCTACTCTTAGAACGTACCTTGAACCTATTGGGGAGTCTATTACGTGCGAATCATGCAGGGATATGCTACTTCAGCGCATACAGGATGTGGTTAATTCTTGGACTTTAGTCAAGGTACGTGACGCTCCTCTTCGACGGTGGTCCGGTCATATTACTCACTGCTGCACTTCATAGGCTACTATATAGGTTACCTACCTAATAAAGCGACCGTATACGATATGCGGCTGGGTTTCATGAGGTCGCGCATCTATTGTACAGAACGTTGTGCCGTGTTCCCTTGCTTGGTGGGCTTTACGTCGTCACTTTCTTCGAACTGGCTGTATCGTGTTCTCGTCTAGTCCTGAAGAACATTGTATCGGTAGCATTCCACGCCGCTGCGGGATAAGTTTGTATAACAATGTAACGACTGGTCGAAATACGCTACCTCGGATGACGAAGCAGAGTACTACCGTACTTCTCCGTGAAGGTGCGTCAGCCGTGACACCTACCGTTACGACATTGTACACCAGGACGGAATGAGCAGACCAATCGAGAGACCACCTTCTCTGGTTTGAGAGGGTAGATGTTCAGACACAAGATCTATTGATAAGTACGCTCCGAACTCGGGCCATGATCGCAAGGTAACAGGCACGATTCGTCACTGCGACCACGAACGAGACGAATGCTATTTCCTCACGTCTCTAATTTACGAGGAGGCTAACACCGGGCTTATCGCCAGGTCTCCATTAGCCGCCTTCATCAAGGACAAACCCATCCTCCTCAGATAGTCCTTCGTCTTCATATCATTCTCCAATACCTCCTCCAGCTTCCGCTCAAGCATAGCGATACGATCTCTCAGCTCTGCGATGCGTTCCTCGGCTTGCCTACGCATCTCCAGCTCTGCACGACACTGGTCCAAGGCTGATTCTTCGCCACGAAGTGCTCTGATGGCAGACTCTTCAGCCGTCTTGAGTTGTTCCTCCAGTGTTCGACGGCAGAGGCGCTCCAGGTCGAGGCGATCCTCGACCTTCCGTCTTGCACACCGCTCCAGGTCCAATGATTCCTCTTGTGTTCGAAGACGATCGCGGAGGGATTGGATCTTCCGCTCGAGCATCTTCTTCCGCTCATTTTCTGCGCTAATTGTGTTCGGTGTCCTATGACGACTGGCGAGCTCCGCGCTGGATGTTGCCAAGGGAGTGGTTGTACGACTTGCAACTTGTGAACGAGTGGGGTCAAAAGGCGCCAAGAGGGTTCCAGCGGCCAAAGGGGATGACGCTTGGGGAGCACGAAAACCGTCGAAAATGGGTGGAGGACCAGACGAGCCGTACACTTTCCGGAACAACTCGATGGACTGCGTGGCATATTGCTTGCTCTCTTCCATCGCTCCCGCGTCGCCCGGTGTATGACGGAGCTTCTTGGACATTTCTCGGCAGCAGTTTGCCAAGAGTAGCAGGGCCGGTCTCAGGTCTGCTTCATCCAGACCATTGCCCTGCATGACTGTCAGGGCGATTGCAACAGTCAGCTCGACACGTCATCGCAATGCTCACGAGAGTGAAGGGGAGGCTCACCTTCCATCATAGTAGTCAGGACTCTGATTGCGGCTAGAATGTCATGCAAACGCAGGTAATCGATGGCGGCCATTATCCACTTGCCACGGCCCTCCACGCCACTTGCGTTAGCACGGAGGCTGCTTATAACCTGGAACAAGTCCAGGCAGCCGGGGTGAAGATCGTCAGAACCCCCACGAGCGTTCGGAAACATGTCGAGCGCCTGCATATTCATGCTGCCGCTGGCAAAGGCGGACGGACTCGAGGAGGTGGCATTGACCGGTGAGGGTATGCGTGGTGGGCGTACCGGGAAGCTGGGGTCCGTATATGCATTGGCTGATACCGATGGAATGGTCGCAGAGATAAGCGATTGCTTCGTCACGGTACAACTTGGGTCGGGCGCACGGTAGGAACGGTCCTCCGTAGTGATGGATTCTAGGCCCACCGGCAGGCGAAGTTCTGGGGCTGGATGTGGAAGATGAGTCGCTGAGGTCGCGGGTTCCGATCTCGTGTGAGTGCTGAAGCGATACTTGTCTCTGCCTGACAACCTATCTTGAGTGTCCTGTATATGCGCTCCGTAAATGCGAAATTACCTGTCCGGGTCTTGCTAACTTTGTGGCGAACACTATACGGCGACCATCGAAGGTCATCTCGGACGTCAGCTTCAGGGGTCAAATGCGGATCCGGGAGGAGTGCGGAGTTGAAGTACTGGACGAAACTTTGCAAGTCCACGGAATATACAGCTGTCTTGGAAAATTGGAGGGAACGCGCGCGTCCCACAGCCTCCTGATCGCGATACTCGACGTGATAGCGGAAGAGAGCTGAGTCGCTAGAAGGGCCTGCAGCATACATTCCGCGACTATATGCGTGCAGCGGTCAGCCTAGACTTTGCGCCACACGAGCATCGGACCTACATGACTCCGCACTGAGCGAACGCAGCCCGCAAGTCGTCGGGGGCGAGCGCACTTTCGACGAGGACTGTGCGGTCTGCCCGCTCAGAGTTCATACTCGAAGCGACAGTGTGCTTGCAGGGTAGAAAGGAGCCTGCGAAGGGTGAAAAGTGAGAGGAAGACGGAATGCAGGATTAACGTAGGGTTCCATGGCGAAAGGGTGACGAAGTGAAAGAGGACTTCGGCGACGATGCAGATCATTGTTCGTCACGTCTCTTGTGTCATGGAAGGAGAAGCTTCATCGCCATCTCAGAACGGTCCGATCTCTGCCGGGACAGTAAATGTCAACTCGGGGTCGTTCCACAGAATGGCATATGACAGAAAAAGAGCTCTCTAGCTGACGCTCAAGTGACTATTGCGGAAGCTGCCTATTCGACAAAAGCTCCGCTGGTACCCCGATCTGAATTGAGCGAGTCGCGTCTACTTGGTACTCGTGCGACAAGTCACAGGTGCCATACGACGACCACGAGACCGGACCTAGATAGTAGCGGCTGCTTATTCCAGGGGGTTAGGCGAGACGAGACTGAGATCATGGTAGGATGCGAGGACCAAAGCTCGGTGGAACAAGGATTGACAACCTGAAAGAAATGCGGAATAAGATGTGGATTGACTCTTTCTTTTAGAAGCCAATGATTGCGCACATGTCGAAGCCATGAACGTTCATGGCTTCAGCGCTCAGCTGGAAGGCCGGATGGGCGCTTGTATGGAGGCACAAGAAACTGTATAGTTGTCGCGGAACTTGCCGCCTGACGCAAACCTTGTTCTGCAGGTGGCGGACACAACAGGATCAAACAAGCGACCGGTGTGCGCCTCCACTGCCGTCCTCATCGTCCTCGACGTCCTCTAATTATACAAAAGGTCCCTCGCGGCTCCCTCAAGACACAAGCATCCCAGTATGGCCGCTGTTCAGACTCTTCCCAAGGATGTCTCCAAGCTTGGTCAGGAAGTCAAGCTTTTCGGCAAGTGGGACACCCAGGAGTGTGTATATTCCTTTGCCTTTCTTCCGACGCAAAGGAGTTGAACAACGCTGGAACGCGCAGTATCGAGGTGAAGGACATCTCCCTGGCCGACTACATCCAGATCCGTCATGCGGTCTACCTCCCCCACACCGCCGGCCGTTACTCCAAGAAGCAGTTCAAGAAGGCACAGATGCCCGTCGTGGAGCGATTGGTCGACAGGTGCGTTAGTCCTGTTCTTCAACCTCACATTCAGTATACCCATACCTGCGTACATAGTTTGATGATGAAGGGCCGTAACAATGGCAAGAAGCTCTTGACCGTCCGCATCGTTGCGCACGCGTTCGAGATCATCCACCTCTTCACCGACCAAAACCCCATCCAGGTACGTTCAACCATGTTTGACGAGCTCTTCTCCTGAAAGTAATATTGCACGCCTAGATTCTTGTCGATGCGATCATCAACACTGGTCCCCGTGAAGACTCCACTCGCATTGGGTCTCAGGGTACCGTCCGTCGTCAGGCCGTCGATGTCTCCCCCCTACGCAGGGTGAACCAGGCTATTGCCCTCCTGACTATTGGCGTACGTCTCCGCTGTGTCTTTCAATGAACAGTGTCTTACTTCTATACATAGACTCGCGAGTCTGCGTTCCGCAACGTTAAGTCGATTGCGGAGTGCCTTGCTGATGAGCTGATCAACGCGGCCAAGGGCTCGTCAAACTCCTACGCCATCAAGGTATGTCTATATGCTTACTTGTCAGTTTTTGCATGCCTCAATACGGTCATATGTGCAGAAAAAGGATGAACTCGAGCGTGTCGCCAAGTCCAACCGGTGAAAGTTCAGTTCCTGGGGGACCCGAGCTATGGCACTATGGGTGTTCTGGATCTTCGCAGCTTCCTTCTATATCAATATTTTTCATGACGCACCATGTAACCCATATGTCCGCTTATGGCAATGTCCTCACCGCTGCGTATCGCTTTGCTTGTATCTGCTCTCTGTGCTGAACCACGAGTTGTCGTATAGCATTTCTGACAGGCCAGTACACTACCTTGTTGTGGCATGTCTCGGGTTCATCAACAGATAGTGGGCTATTTTCAAGACGAGCCCGTCGTTCTGCGACGAAGCGGTCAGATCCCCTGATGTCCTTGTGGGCACTCAGGCTGAGATCGTCAGCTATGAATAACGCCGGGCCACGAACTTTGTCAACCCGTCTGCACCTGCTGCCGCTCCGGTGTTTGTGGGCCGCACGATCCCAATTAGAGGCGTCGAAGGGAGTTCAGTCCAGGAACTTGGTACCTCCCGCGGTGTCGCGGGGGAAGGGGGAGGGGTGTCAACCCATCTGCTCCATACCCTCACTCCGTCAGTCAGAAGTCCGACATACTCGACCATATAGATTCTCCAGCGAAACGGTCCTTCCTCTCTGCATGAGGCTCTTGGGAACAAGCACTGTATGCCGCGTGTGCAATGACTTGAGGAAGGTAATTCGGAGTGTGCGTACCTGATGTCATGTGCGTCCCACAGTGCTCCGAATTCCGCTCGCTATTCACAGGAAACAAGGACGCGCCTCCGTACAGGGGTGTCGATGCGGCAGTTGACATCGTACGCAAAATCCGCTCCGTGGGCACCGCATATGCTGCTACCGGTAGATCAGCTGCTCTCGTCGCGCGACGTGCGCTGGGAAACGGTGCGCACATCGGACGCGTCCAACGGGCTCGAGGTGGGTAAACTACACACGGTAATCGAGTCGCTCCCGACAAACATGGACCCCCACGCACATTCCAGCATAGGATATAGGAGCTGGGGCGCTAGCTCTCGCCTCACCAGGCTCACCTAGTCTCTAGCAGGGTGGTCGGGATCCTCGCGACCTCCCACGGGGCCTAGGGCCAGGCCCGACGCACAACGCCCCCAGTGATGGCTGCGGATTGGGCCGCTTCGTACTAACATGTTGACGTCCAGGGGCAGTGTCAATGGCAGGCCAGCTGCAGGCTAGTCACCAAGAAGCAATGATCGTTACGCCGCACTCCGCACTCTGCAGGGTGGAACCGTTGCGGGCTGCCGGAGCGTCGGTGGCCAGATCGGTCAAAGCCTAGGTATTACCTACGAGGTCGGGCGGACGGTGCGGGCTGCAATGATGCGCGTCACGATACATGGGGTATGTCAGGGGAGCGCGAACGCTGGCAGTCGTCGTCATAATCGTGTACGTACTGCGGCGCGCGCATGCATTCTATCTCATATTTCCTGCGAGTACAGGTTCTCCTCTCCTTGGGAATGCTAGCACCGTTCAGGACGAGGCTCCATGATTGCCCCCGGCTGCGTACTTCGAGGATCTGCGCCCTCCGAATCTGTCAATACTGTGCGCATGTAGCTACCTATCGATACACCCGATACGCAACCGATTTACTCTGGTTGGGAGACGCAGGATCGCGCCCGTGCGCACCACTGCAGGTTGCCGCGCGCGCAGCGCCAATATTGCGACCCAAAGGGCAATTTGTGTGCATAGGGATGTCAGCGAATATGATTCCAGCCGCAGAGCACCCGCGGACGGTGAGAAGAGTCCATGCTGGTGGGCGGCGCGATATCACGCCTAACTCACTCGCATGTGTCAACCGTTGGTAAGCTCGCGGGTCTCCTTACCAATAGCTTCGCGTAACCAACGCGAGCGGCCGAGGCTATCCGGATGCATGACCGTCGGTGCCGCGGCCGCGCATAGTACGTGCAATGCATGTGCACGAGGCAGACATTCAAGCTCGCGATCGTCGCGCGCATCCGCGTCGATTATCAATGTATATGCGCATCCCCTACTATGAGTAGTGGAGGCCGTTGCGCCTTCGCGCGCGGGTACTGTGCCAGAGAACGCGCGGGCGCGCAGGAGGCAGAAGGCTAGCGTAAAGCGGAAACTGCGAAACGCCACATCGGAGGCTTTTGCACATGATCCTCCCCCAAGTAGTGGGCTCATCACGCCCACTTCTCGGTCCCTCGCAGCTCTGCGAAAATAGGAAGGAAAGCGTGCGTCCGCAGACGCAACATGAGAACTTCCGTGGAATTGGGCTGGGGACCAGACGCAGACGGTCGCAGAAAGTGGATGTTCTGGCACAACATCAGGATAGACCGTCGAGTTTAAGTTCACGTGAACACGCATGAGGTCAGAGGCCGAAGGCCTAGGTATATCCGAGGAGACCCCAGCCCGAGATGCGGCATTCCGAGTCCACTACACGACGTTAAATAGAACAAGCGAACCCAGAGGGACACAGTATGTGCAAGCGCGTCCAAGGCCCCAACCAACGATAGCAATACAACGGGGTGGGCAGCGACAGGAAAGTATAGATGTGGCCTCTACGAAGGTAGTGGCGCAAAAACGGAAAACAAGACTGGGATCTTGGGGCAAGGGTAGGGATATATCGATCCGGATGTCCGGACGATCCGCGGTATACAAAACGCGACACCCCTGAGCGAATACGCCTCCCTGTAGACGTGCCCCACCGTGGCCATTTGGGACAAGTGAGGTATGACGGCCGTAGGGCAGCCGCAGTGGTGTGACCTCCTATCACGTCCGCCGTATCGCCGCTGAGACGCGATAGGCACGCCGGAGGCAGGCGAAACCTGCCCCGCGTGGGGCGTTACGCGTAAGAGGTGGGGGGCCGAGGCGCGTGACACAGAGGGCGGGATGGAGTGCTCCAACGGAATGTAAGAAATCAGAAAATTAGGAATAAATGCAGGTATGCTAGAACGACGAGAGATCATGAAATGCAAGCGATAACGACAACAAAAACAAATGTGAGCCAAGCCAAGGGCGCCCGACGTGAAGCAAGAGAGATGATGATATAGGGGCGATGATGGTTATGGGGCACCGATTCCGACCGATCCGATTCAATAACACCGAGAGCTGAACGCGGAGTCCTGCGAGAGATGAGGCAAGGTGGCGGAGACAGAAACGACGATGTGCGTTGAGTTGACGTGAGGGAGAGGAAGCGAGATAGACGGATGGATGATGATGAGGCCGGTGCCTGCCTTCGCGACCGACGCCGGACGACGTCGGGCAAGCGGCGGGATGTTGCGTGCTTTTGATGGCAGATGACAGCAGGAAGACATGATAGTACAAGTACGAGTACAGAACACAGGGATACGATGCGACGACAGGGAGTAGAGGATCGAGATGTTGGCCAGAGGAGCAGAGCCATAGGATACACGCGGTTAGGGGCGAGGGCACGCAAGCAGTTAGACGATACAGCGAAGGGTCGGGGACGAACAGGGCATCCTGAGGCGAGGCTTGTTGCGGCGGGGCTCTATCATGTAGAGAGCGTCTGACGAGCCGCCATCGACGTTCTATAGCGATACAATGAGGGCGGTTATCGCCACAAGGCGCGGGGAGGGCGCTGCATCGTTCAAGTCGGCGTTTGATCGGCGTGCAGAGCGGGAGATCCGATGGGCATTGTACGGTGTTGAAGGTTGACGTCGACGACGCCAAAAGGTCTTCAGTACCATGCGCGTTGCGGGACACCCGATGCCCATGTTGAATGGATGCCGTATAGGACGGGCCAGGAACTGGGGGCATCGGACGCTTCGCCTATTTGGTGAAGCGCGGATCGGCGTGCCCGAGGTTCTCGTCTCCAGCCATCCTTGGTATGACCCCATCGACGCCCTGGTATCCATAGTCCCTGCCAAACTCCTTGACCATGGACATGCCCATAAGACATACCCAGCCAAGGCCATCGCCTGTGATAACCTGCCCGGGCCAATAGAGCTCGCATTCGTCGTCCTGGAAGTCCGGCTCGTGTTCGTCGGAGGGTGTGAGCGACGTGTTGATCATCCGCGCGAAGGTCCGCGGGAAGTGCCTAGCCATGACGGGAAGATTGAGGGTGCTCTGCGACGAGTGGATGCGATCGAGGGCCGCTCGGAGACCGCCACTCTGCGACTTGTTCTCCCAGATGAACTGCGCGTTCACGTCGTAAGTGACGTGTGGTGGAGGGAGAGTCAAGATCTCCTTGCCGGGCGCGGTACCGCCTCGCGTTGCCCGGGTAATGGATGGGCTCGCCGAGGACGCACCGTGCCCGCCGAGTGGCGTCGAGTTGGAACTGCCCGTGGTTGAGCTGCTCGCGGGTGATGGAAGCATGTTAGGGCCAGCGGTTGGAGGTATAGATTGAGCCTGAGCCTGGGCTTTCGCTTCAGCTTCCTTCTTTTGCTCCATCTCCCATTTCAGCTTTAGCCGGGACAGCTTGTTGTCGTTGGCAGAGTCCACCTGATTCATGTGGTGCCGCAATTTACGCCCGTGTATGAATGCATGCAGCATTTGACTGTGATTTGTTACAGCAATTGGAGGGAACCCGAGATGCGTTGATTAACTTACATCAGTCCAAGAAACGCCTTCTCACGCTCATCACGACCTTCCGCCTGCCACTTCGCCTCCGTCCTGTGGATGGCCTCTTCGACTGTCCTCCAGGAGGCCCTGTAACACATCCGTACGGCATTCTCTTTGCCCCAGAGCCCGTATACGAAGTGAAGTAACGAGTCGACGAGCTCGAGACGCGCCATGAGCAGGCTGTGTTTCGCGTAGGACGAAGTCGGGTTTAATGACACTCGCAGCGCCTTATAGTCCTTGGACGTTGTGGGATGCGCCGCAGCCACTCGCGCGTATGCCGAATACTTGAGCATACGCCCGTTCACGAAGCACTTCTCGTAGATGCTATCCCACTCGGCGACGGCAAGGATACCACGCCTCGGTCGGCGTACCGGGAAATTACTCGGGAAAGTGATGGGAGCGAAGCCCTGAGTTTCCGGAGGTTCTTCTTTGACTTCGCCATCCTCGGAGGGTTCGTGCCTGGGTATGGGGACTGCGCGAGACGGTGGTTGGGGTCGTGACGATGAGGAGGAAGAGGACGTGCGAGGCTTCTTGGTGTGAAGTGGTTCAGAGTCTGGCTCGTGTCGCCGCTTTGTGGGGAGGGCGGGAGAGGACTCGCGGGACACGGGAGGGGAGGGTGGGAGCTCGGAAGGTAGTGGATGGCTATGTGGCCCGAGGATCTATGGGGAAGCGTGTCAACGAAGAATATGCGGAAGACAGGAAGATGGACAAACTTCAAGGCCCTTCAAGAGCTGTTCTCGGATGAGCGAGCTGGGGAGGACTGTGTGAGGCGGGCAGGCACGAGGCGGTGGGAGCGGGGATGGAGCGTACCGTCTCCTTGATCTATGTGAGGATGAGGAAGATGAGGCGGATGCGGTGGATGTAGAGGACGATGCGCGAGGCATGGTGCTCAGCGCGGGAGATGGTGGTAGTAAGAGGACAAGGAGCTGGGGCGGCAAAGCCGCAACGATGGCGTGAAAGGTCGGCGGAGAGAGAAGAGACCCTGCCCTGACCGCACTCGGTGGCCCACCGGCCCAACGGGCGTCTACGCCCCTGGCCAATCCCCGCTTCGCCCGTCGCCATCCTCCCTTTTATTCTCTCTCCTCCCACCGCAATCATCTTTTGTTGCCTGTGCCCGTCGTTGGTCCCCGTCGTGCAGCATCATGCGCGCTGGATATCTGCCCGCTGTGCACGACGGCCCACGGCGGACTGCGGCGCCTCCCCTCCCTCGGCCGCACCGGATCGATTTGAATGCTTCCAGGACCGTCGCTCAATCCGGCAACTCTCACTTACCATGCCCCCTTCCGGAACATGCACTCTATACATACATGTGCCCGTCGTCTTCCATTCTCATGACTGCATCACCGAGGACTATCATCCCGCTCTCTCCACCGTGCTCGACCCTCCGCGCCGCGTCCGCACGACTGGAGCCCCACGCGTCGCAGCGCCCCCAGCGTCGGCGAGTTCGCTGGTCTGCCACACGGGCTGTGCACGCGCCACCGTGCAACACAACCCAACCCGACCTCAGCGGAGGCGGCCGCGGATGAGTCGGACTCGCGTTCGGAAGTCCCATCGTACCGCCCTTGCACGCGTCTAACGATTAT